ACTTCATATGCTGAATGAACGACTGCCACCTGTAGAAAGGAGAGAGAGAGAGAGAGAGAGAGAAAGAGAGAGAGGGTGTGTAAATTTGAATTTCTACAGAGCGTCATCACTATAAAGACATATGCCATTTCATTGTTTTTAGATAAAATAAAGCTAAAGAATGCACACACACACACACACGCAACACACACTGTAATGTAGACATGATAGATAAGGGAATGAAAAGGCAATTAGGATTATACACACAATACATTATTCATAAATCAACAATGAGTTCACAGAATGCATAATGATAATGGTGCGTGAAGCTTTGGCTCTTTCCCAAAAACACACACAGACTGTTTCCTTTTCACTGAAATAATACTGATACATAATCCTTAGAGACAAAACACACACTATTATGAAATTGAATGATATGAAAGGATCAAACTAATCCACCCATGCTTATAGGAACACACACACACAATACAGGCCTACATATACCTTATTGAATTGGCTCCAGTTCTCATAGAGTGTGCAGCTGGGTCCAAATAATCAGTGATCTGAAAGTATAAAGTCATTATTAGCCCATTGATTACATTATAGTTGCATGAAGACCCTCTACTAATCAGCATATACTATTCCAGGTGGCCTCTTGCATAATTTGGAACTATACCAATGACCTTAGCTTCCTATTTAAATCTTACACAATCCTTACAATTCATGTGTGTGTGTATGCTCAGCACAATTACTGCATATATGGTAAATGTATATACACAATAAAAGTGAATGAGGAGTCCAGGGTACGTGACTGTCTGTGGGTGTATGCACCTTGTCACCAGATTTAGGCTCAAAGTGAAAAGGAGTGTTACTTCCTTCGGTTGACACCCACAACACTTTAGTCTCCGAAACAAATGATACACCAGTTATTGTGTCCCTGGAAATATAAACAAAGAACTAATGATGACTTCAGTGGGTGAGAGGGTGAGAGAGAGGGAGAGAGAGAGAGAGAGAGTTAGGGCTCACAAAAATTGAAGTGAATGAAGTTGCTTGATGTCACTCGACCAAATCTTGACCTGCTTGTCAAAAGAGCCTGTAAATACCCTAAAAGAAAGAGAGAGAGGGGGAGGAAAGGTGAAAGGCAAAGTTTTACTCAGTGTATGCTTCAGCTGATGAGCACAATAGTACAAGGCTTTTGGAGCAACTTTTAAAATTTGTAATAAATTTAATTTTGATCCGAATCAGCTCAAACTTGAAACACAATATAAGCACATCAGGAAAAATTATAACAATAAAAAAATCTCATTCTATAATTTTTGGTAAAATTTGACCAGACTCTTTAAAAATCTAATATCGATTGGAATCAGCTCAAAATTTCTATGCAACACAAGAACAGGCTGAAGGCATATCCATCAGAAAACAAAATCTCTCCCCTTACTGTACTATAGTAAATAATAAGCTTTGTTAAATTTAAAATAAACCAGCAAAGGTGCTAAGCACTATGCCATATATGGGAAACCCTGTGAGAGAGTCCATGTACATTGCATGTGTAAATTAGGTCAGTGCCTAATGAATACATGAGACATTAACCTTTTAATCTGACACCACAAACATTAAAACAAACTCACAACCAGCAGTCACTACACAATGCATGTAACAACAAGCTCATGATTCACTTGAAAATGTAAACAAAATGACAATTACAGGAATGATTGACATATTATTTATGTACACACACACACACACACAGTCACACACACACACACATACAGTGAATGCCTGCATGTTTAATAACATCATCAAGGCATTGAGTAGCATATCTAACACTTAATTCTTGGAAGTAAAACGAAAGGGAAGTTTATTTCACTCAAATGACTGGAAGGAAATAGAAAAATACACAATGCGGGCAAAAGTAGTAACAACTCAACCACATAGTGTGTCCACTTCTAAATATGGACACAAACTGTACCCAACAACTGACCCTCTACTAATCCTAGGAATACACTACTGATAATGGTAATAGAGTTCATTAATGTCAAAGGTGTGCTAGTCCTTCCTTAACAGCCAGGATACCATAACACACAGTAAAGCATTTGTAAACTGATGATCACATTCCTCTACAAACATAATTATCATCTATTCACCAGCTTGAACTAATTACCCGCATTAACAGGGAGGGTAGATGTACACATCATTATGAACCATGATATCACATTAGGAACTCAGTAATAGTGCAACTACTACATAGTAATTGTTTATCTTGTATTCATGTGTCATTCGAAATTTCCTCCTTCACCATTTTATCATTACAATTGTCATCATACATACATGCACTTGGTGTTGTTTTACTTACCAGTCAGTCTCTGAATCCACCCATAGACAAGTCACTGCTGCATCATGTGCCCTCTCTTTCCTATAAAAGGAGAGTACAATCACACACACACACACACAGAAGTAAAGGTATGCATTAACTCTACATGCATCATTTATGATGCTGCTTTGACGTCAAAGTAGTAGCTATAGCATAATGTAAATGTGTGTGCGTCAAAAATTATCAATTAAAATATCTTATTAAAAATACATTCAATAAGTCACACGCATGTACATGCATTTCAAGCTCAGTCATCCTTAGAGGCAAAGCAATAGATCAAGAGATGTTGAAATACAAGTAAGTATAGTTATAGTACCCCCTGAGGCATAACATTACTATAGTACATGAAATCCCTCTCTCCTAAGGCATGAACATATACAGAGACATTACTCTCTCCTCTCTCATTCTCAAACTCTCCTTTCCCTTACTTCACTCTGTTATAAACTCAAAAGTTGCTACAAACTATTAAATTCCCACAATGCAAACTTGACCCGTGACCATATAATATAGTGACTGAACCGAGTCAACCGTTGCCATATATGGAGGCAGTGCTCCCTCTCAGATTAACCACGAACATTATAGATGAGACATATTGTATTGATGCTTGTAAATCCCCTTCTTCTCTTCCTCTCCCTCCTCCTTACCTCTTCCTCTTTGGACTGTTCCCCCCCCCACTCTCTCTCTCTCTCTCTTTCCATAGATAATGCACACACAACATCACGAAATGTACAAATAGTATTGATAGCAGTTGGTTTAATACTCAATTGACACTATAAATAAATGTTGGAGGGAGAATGATGTGACACTATGACACCATGACATCAGGAGATAACACCAAATACACAATACACCCTTTCCCTCTCCTCTATCTCGACCCAAGGTCAAGCACTGTGTAAACACGAGGATGAATATTAGTATAGTACTGACCAGGAGAGAGGACAATACAGCTAGTATACTTTATCACTAATGTAGAGTAATCAACTAGACCTCTTACAATAATCCCATGGCAATGAAAGGGCATGATTGATAATGCACAATCATTTTAATGAGGTCATGCAATAATAATAACAATAACAATAACAATAATAATAATAACAACAGCAATGATGAGGCCATATGGTACTATTAATACAAGCAGTCTTTAAAACACATAATACATGTATATGCAGGCATACATCATTGCTTTTGGTAGTGAATGTACACAACCAGAATGCCTAACATATCTACATAAGCTACAGTCAGTGACCAATAAAAAGCCATACAGGATCATATCAAGGCATTAATAATACTTGAAAGGTATGAACTAGGACATCAAAGTAACAGTATCATTTATATTAAAGGTACAAAGTGGCTGTATTACAATATGGTCACATTCCTTGAAAGCAAATATTGGGGGGTGACCTAATGAAAAATGCACTGACACATCCTGTGAATGCTATTGACCCAGGACAGACTAACCATAATAGAGGTCATTTTGTTAATCACAAGTTGATATGTGATACAGTACATCATTAGTGCCATAATAAGTGTACTAATTGTGAGTGAGTCCATGACATTATGTGTTCCTCCTTCAGCTACATGTATATGTGTGTGTGTGTGTGTGTGTGTGTGTATAAACTCTATGAGAGATGAATGAGAGTGGGGTGCCTCAGAGGGTGCATGTGCATGGCATGTGTAGGTGAAAGGCGTGTCAATTGGCTCAATACAAAAAAGATAAGATTCATAGGTCTACAACAATGCCATAGAGGCGTGGAGAGTCTGGTCAGAGGTCAATGAAAATATAATATTTAAAAGTGTAAGGCAGTGTCTGTATCACTTAAAGCAGTGCCAAATATACTATACTGGCACATATTGATTTGATTTAAATTCCTCCAGGAAATAAATGGTCAATGGGAGCAAACTGTTTTCATTGAAGCATAAAAGGGAATGTGGTGATAGAATGTCATGCATGTAAACATTCAATTATGCCTAGACTCTGACACTTGGGATAGAACAAATGAGAGAGAGAGGGAGGGAGGGAGGGAGGAGGGTGAGACTGTCCCTTACGTATAAACCAAATGAAGTTCTGGAGTATGAGCACTATGAAGACCCGATACGTCATAGACACAAAGACGTTTGTCATAACTAAGAAAAAAATGAGAGAGGAACAAAAATAATAAGGGGAGAGAGAGAGAGGTTTCTGCTCTCATTCTAGACTTGTATAAAATGTTCTCTGCTTGTTAGGCTGGCTAGTGCAAAAGAGATAGTGGACCGAGGCATTTTAAAGTTAATGTAAAAGGTCATGTTAGCAACTGAGCAGTAATGGGATACTGTCTAGACAGAGCTCACTGTTAGTGTCTGTAAAATGAATAGTCCGACTATCAAACTCCATATAATACAATATGCATACATAATGTAACAATAACATAGAAATAGCTGAAATTTTCATCTTTATAGTGTAAGCTTGTGTATGGATGCATTACATAAGTATACTTAGTTACCCTGCTGAGAAAACCTTGTTACCATCAGTTTCAATACAACGTATGATGTCTGTGTGACTGCTTATGGTATATCCTGATGAAAAGGAGAAATAAGGATGGGAGAGAGAGAGAGAGTGGTGAGTGAGAGAACATGCTAATAAGACAAGGGGGATTCACGTTCACACACACACAATCCAATCACTATAGTCACAATCCTATTATACACAATCCTATTACACTATCTCCAGTGACAACACATCCACCAACTCACTCTCTCTCTTGTGTTTATATTACTCGGAAGATGGCTTTGTGGTTCATGAACTCATTAATCAATTACATTCCTGAATCGGCTCAGGTCAGGCACACACTTAATAACTATGCAATCCGCCTATGTTGGCTCTGTGTGTATTTGTATGATTGCTTTGTGTTTCTATCCTAGTGTATGTCATTAGATCATTGTTGAAGAATGTACACTGAAAAGTGCCCTCTTTATTTGTGTACACAAGCTGTAATGCTCAACGTTACAGTTAGTTCCACAAGTCATTTCCCCCTTTCCCCTTCTACTTGTAGGGAATCCCTAACTCTGAAAACATCAATGTTTAATGCTCATCATGATTATGCTTAATAGTAAATGTAATTACACTTATAATCACATTCACTCTATAAGCACACACACACACACACAATGCTCCTATATTTTTCACCCTACCCTCTCCCCATGCTAGCATTCATAGCCCATTCACTTAATGGATTATTATGTTTTGCTTACCTCCTTTAGTCAGCAATGGAAGCCCCAGTGTACCATATTGGCCTGCAAAAGAGAGTGAGACAGACATAACAAAAACAGCATCGAAGTCAATCCCAAAAAATACTGAGAGTACAAGGACAGATTAAAGCATATGCGGATAAGGAAAACTAGCTCTGATTCACACCAAACATCATCATAACAATTGCTTTATTACTTATTTATTGTACTGCAAATTAAACTCTACTTTGAAAGCCATTAACCTTTAATGGCCAGGCTTGTTACACGCTCTTTCAGTGCAAGCTCAATGTCTCGCCTCTTAAATATCATGATAATAATATTATAATTATAATTAATACAATGAAGGATTAGAATATTAATACTTTTAGTTACCACTAATCAACGACTCAATGCACAAACTATTATTAATCAATCGACGGCTTGTAAACAATTGTTAGAGCAAAACCAGAACACAGACCCACCCTTGTAAAGGCACAAACACACACACACACACACAAGAATATCATAGTAAATTCCAAGAACTTTGGTTTTCCTATATGACCCTGACCCTGGAGACATCAACAGGGTAATTTCCTGATTGATATCTATACACTTCATTGAACTCTACACTCTATAATGATTGATTTTCATAAACAAACCTGATGGTAAGAGTACAGAGAGGTTGCATAGACAACCGACCACGAGCCCATTTAGTTTCTGGTACCAACACATCGAGTAGATCGCTTGACCAATCTATGGTAATTAATTGGAATAAGAGTTAACGCTTCCATGTATCAACTAACGTCATTAGCACCATTGATAGCGCCTGAAGGGGCCCACTGGATTATACTACCGTCCAGAGAACTGGATATCAGCAAGCGACCAGTTGCCCTGTGAAAAGTTATAAAGTCATCATAAAAATACACTATTAATGTAACAGCTACCAATATAGTAAGTCAGTGATCATCCCTTCGTGCTTTTTGAGACTAAGTGTTGATTTGCCTGTATCTGCATCCCAAGTTTTAATAAGACCGTCTACACAATAAGAGAAGAGATAAGAGAGAGGGAGGGAGTGAAAACTGTGGTTGGGTTTTCAAGTGCGCGGGGTGGAGCTCATTTGCAGGCTAGCCTGCAGCAAAGCTACAAGACGCAATTTACAAGGTCTTCCTCTCAGCCCGGCTAACCTTCGTGGCCTGTAACAATCTCGCGACGAAGAGGATGATAAGTGAATGCTGTGACAGGAGAGGAACAGTTCAACTTGAAGCTCATTACCCTGGCGTCCATTTTGGGTGCAATTGATCAGAACTGAATAATAAATTGGCTTATAATGTTATTATGCGTGACCTTCCTCCCCCGCGATCGGACTCCTTTGTCCCTTGACCTTGTACAATAATATAAAAGAGCGTGCCATAGGCATGAACTGTCTGTATATTACACTTTATTATACAGGCAAACCATATTCATTTTCTGTTTATGGTTTGCACGCGATAACGGTAGAGCTAAGGTCGCGAGTTTAAAAGGAAGCAAATTCATTTACTTTGGACTCAATTGGACCATTTCAAGTCAGTGAGCAAGAGATATCAGCATAGTGGATACACAACAACAATACCGCTTGAAGGAGCAATCCACCATGGAGTTTAGCTTAGAATTAAATCCAGAGAAGACTCTTTTTGTACTCGGGCCTTGTTTTGCAGCCTCACTCCTCAGGGAGGGAGCCACCGAGGGCGGCCGAAGCCTACCGCCACTGAGCTACGCCTCGCTGAGAAAGTCACTCAAAGAAGCTGGTCTCTCTTCTAACAAAAGACCCCGTTCAAGTAAAGGAGCAGAGGAGCTAGACGCCCAGCAGGGAAAGCGAAGATTGGAAGATGTGTTCTCCGGCATATCCCGAGAGCAGCTCCAGAGAACACAGCTTGCAGAGACCCTCCTTGGACTACAGCAAGAAGGCGCTCTACTGGTCTACTTGCACCCTGACAGTCTCTGCGAAGAGGCTATGGACCTAACAGCATTCACTCTGAGCCAGACAGAGAGCTGGACAAGAAGTCGAGCCGGTCTCCTGCATCCTTTTGGAGTCCATACTGCTCCAGAGAGTATCCATGTACCACCCGCGAGCAGGAGCAGATCAAACGAGATTAGCATACCTCAAGAACTATCTGAGGTCCTCAAGGAGAGGTCTTGCATTTGCCTAGGACTCTATCCAAGCGGGAAAGACGAGCCTGATCCAGGGAATCCTCTAGTAGACAAGTTCTTGGATTGGATCCACAGTTACTCGGGAAACCTCCCCACCATCATCCATGATAGCAGCACTGCATCCACTGCTGCATCATCTACAAACGCAGAACTGCACATTCACAGCGTCCCCTTGCCACAGGGCCTATGCCATATTAGTGAAACATCAAAAGTTGTTGGTAAGTGGGCTCTTCTATAAACTTTTGCATGTATGTCTTCTATATAAGTCTGCACATGCTCTGTAATGTTTACTATTTTTTCTCTTTATCATTATTCCAGGTCAAGGAATCAACTTTCCACCTCAAGTGGAAGGGGCAGTCTCCATATCACTTGTATTAGGTAACAAATCTGGTCTCTCTCATGTGACGGACATAGTCTCTCGCTTTCCTGGAGTTAACTTTGTAATCAGCTGCAACCTTCAGGCCATGGGTCTAGAGTTTCATCCTCTCTCCGTTCGTCTGACAACGAAAAACTTTAAAGAATTTTGGGAGAACCTCATGTCCCCTAAGACCCTCTCGGAACTGGTAGAGAACTCTGTGCTCTTTATCGTGCTTAGGAACGGCCCTACAATCTGGCTTAATAACACAGGTAAATGTCTAATGAGCGCAACAGTGCACGCTGCATGAATGAGAATGGGTATCCCTTTGTGGCCAGCTGAGTTGGTCAAAAGTGCATCATAGCAGGATGTACTGTCTTTGACATCAGCAAGTGTAACAGGTCACTCGTCATCCTTTAGTAGGAAGTAAAAGTAGCGGAATGTTTTCTTTAGACCCATTTGGCATATCCTGCTCCTGTATAGCAACGGAATCCTAAGAACATCTCTTATTGATATATTTTCTTTTATATCACAGGTAGCAAGAGCTTTTACAATAGCAAAATAAAGGGACGGACAGTTGAAGATGTAGTGAAGTCTTCCAGCCTTCAACCTCCTCCTCTCTCTAATAAGACCACCAGTAGACAAATACCCCGCTGGTATACAACAACACGAAAAGTCAACTCAAGCACAAGTGGTGTCAGCAAGGACTCCCTGGGTTTACTGAAAGATGACAGCACTCCGGTGCTAAGCAGTATCTTAAAGGATGGTAAAGATGGAAGAAGGAAGAGCCTACCATTGCCGTCTTCTTTCTCTTCGTCTTTAAAAACTAAGTTCCCATCAAATAATCCTATAACTGTAACAAGCAGACAGCAATTATTAATCAGTAAATATTTATTTACACGAAAGCACAAGGAGACTGATCCAGCTGCAAATTCCACTCTCCTCCGCAGTCTCTTATCTGGAGAGCCTAAAGAGTTCCCAAAGTCAAGCAAAGTCAAAAGCAGCACAATGGAGCTGCTAGAAAAATGGACGACAGAAAGACGAAAGAACCTTTACATCAAAGAGAACTCTGCATGGTCGTCTTGCATTGATAAAGCTCTGAAGCGCAAGATGGAAAAATGGGAAAAAGTGAGAGCAAGAAGGAGGCAGAGAAGCATCGAGCGAGAAGCTAAGACTTCCTCAATTTCGAGTTCCAATTCTGAAGATCTTCGTCAGCATTTGACCTCTCCCGTCACCTACTCTCCCCTTCAAGCTTCCCACTCAATCTCTCCCTCTCTGCTGAGTCCCATTAATCCATTCCTCTTCCCCACAGCTGCTGCTAACACTCTCTCCCTTCACACCTCACCCCTGGTCTACCCAACCTCTTTCCTATCCAGCTATCCTTATTTGACTCCTGCAACACTGCCCTACGTCCAGGCGGCTACCGTTCTCCCTCAAGTGACGCCTCCTTCTTTGAGTGCTTCGAGCATTTTCGGTGGAGCAGCCACTTTAGCTGCAGCACCAGTCACAACAGCTACTCCTGTCCTATCTAGAAATGGTCAAATGTATCACTCCACGCATTATGCCAGCTCTGTAATGGCAGACTCATCCAGTCAGACAGCAAACAGTCGAAAGAGAAGCAGTTCTTCTCAAAAAACAAGTTCTTCTAGTTCCTCGATTTCAGCACTTTTAAAGCAAGAGCAAGAGCTCCCGTCGACAGTCTCAAAAAGGCAAAGGCTGACCACCATCTCTCCTTCTTCGTCCTACATGGACGATCGAAGCGATGGGGAGGAGGAGAGAACACCACCACCTTCCTCCTCTTCCCGCCGTGATGGAGAGCTCTGGCAGTTCCTTCTCGACCTCTTGCTGTCCAACATACACTCCGACTGGATACAATGGAGCCCTCAAGTCACCATGGAGTTTACAATCAAAAAGCCAAAAGATGTTGCAAGACTATGGAACACGTATGTCGGTAGCGAAACAGACTCAAAGGACACAACAAAATTTAAAACTGCTCTCGGTTTTTGTCTCAGGAAATCTCCTCCTATCATGTACAGTGTTGAAGGAAAGACACACACTTACAGATTTAGTCAAAGCGTCCTGTATTACATCAACATGAGATATACGCAACAATTGGAAGGAGATTTCATTTCTAAGAAACTCAACACTGACAATAGTAGGGAAATGAGCCGATCTAGGGAAGTACTAGTGGTCGATTAGTTTTTAAAATTATTTAGACGATTTTACAATTTCATATATTATCTATGTATATCTTGCTTTCTTCGCCCCCATCTCTTATAATAATATATTTTCTTCATTCTTTTTGTAAAATGAAATCCTTTCTTTCTACTGCTTGACATTTTTATAATAATTATGAATTTCGAAATGCTATAAAATAAAAATTTCTAGACAACTGCAAAAGCAAAAAAGATCAATAAAATATTAGAAAATGTATTATGATCAAAATTAAATAGCAAAAATTAATTTTAATAAAAAATTGAAGTTGACACTGAATGACAGTGGTGTGTTTATTTATATCAGGAAATAGGGATATTTTGAAACCATTTTTAGACTGTAGCAATTTCATTGGAAATGAGCTCAAATTTCTGCACAGTATAAGGACGTCAATATGTATCAGAAAATGTAATGAAAATTGGGCATAATTTCTGGGCTTTTTTTTGAAAAAAATCCCAAGGCTATTTGGGTATTTTTCAAATTTTTGGCATTTTAAAAATGGCTGTAACTCAAAAAATTAAAGAAAAAATCAGCTCAAACTTTCTGAACAGCATAAGTACATCAATATGCATCAAAAAATGTAATAAAAATTGGGAGTAATTTTGGGACCATTTTTTGGAAAAAAACCATGGGCTATAGTACAGGGAATTTTTCAGAAATTTGACATTTAAAAAAATGACCATAATCAAAAAAATTTAGTCAGAATCAGCTCAAACTTTTTATATAGCATATATACAACAATATGTATCAAAAAATTTAATTAAATGTGGGGGTGATTTTGGAGTCATTTAAAAAAAACCATGGGCTATAGTACAGGAAATTTTTTAGAATTTTGGCGTTTTCTCAAAATGGCCGTAACTCAAAAAATTGAAGTCGGAATCAGCTCAAACTTTCTGGATAGCACAAATGCATCAATATGCATCAGAAAATGCAATAAAAATGGGGAGTGATTTTGGAGCCATTTTTTAGAAAAAACCATGGGCTATAGTACATGGAATTTTTTCAAAAATTTGGCATTTTAAAATTATCATAACTAAAATAATTATTGTTGGAATCAGCTCAAAGTCAATTTTTTTTTCACATAAAATCAGATGATTTTAAAGCCATTTTTCTCAGCTATGACTATTGTGAATTTGTAAAAATTACCCCTGAGGGGTAATTTTCAGGGGCTACTCTATTATTTTACATCCTGGGGGTGGCCCCCCTAGTTAGTGGGCGAGGCTAGACGGCGCCAGGCCGCCGCCTCGAAGAATTAACGAAAGAGAAGCAGAATTACATAACAGTTGAATGCAATTATAAAATAGCTGGCCCGGGTTGGTACCTTATAGTGGAGAACGAAGGCATATTCTCCAAATGCTCCTATTGTTAAGAGAGAAAGAGCATGAACCCTCTCCTTGAGCTAAACCCTGAGTCCTGTATTATAGTAATAGGGCCTTCTTTGGCTCGATCTTGTCTTCCAGAAGGAGAGGGAGCAGGAGAAAGTGGTGATAGATCCCTTTGCCTTTCTTTCCTCTCTCTCATGCTAGCCGGAGCATCTCTCCTTGGAAAAGAGCAACGTGGGGATCTGCAGGAGCAACTCAAAAATGGAGACCTGGACAAAGTACTTGAGCTAGAGTCCATTCTTGCTAGCAAGTCATTGAGGAAGAAATGGCTCAAAGAAAGTCTCACGTTATCATCAACGCAGGACAAGAGGCTATCAGTCTCGGAGACATTGCAACTATTGCTAAGATTGCAGGAGAAAGGCTCCAGGCTAGTTTATACAGGCTACGACATGATACTTGACACTGTAGCGGGCTCTACACCTGTACTTATACCTCCAAATGATGAGTCTCAACATTCATCTTCCTCCAACCTACTGAGCAGGTGGATCAAAGGATCCACCAATGGATTCCTCCACATTCATGGCTGCATTTCTTCAGCATCAGAGACTCCATCATCAGAACACATTGTTATACATCATTCACAATACACTCCACTAGTAAACTCACCACTCTTTCTTCCTCTCAAAGAACTCTTCAGGCATCGCTCTATCCTTTTCCTTGGGCACGAGACGGACTACTTTAATCCTCTCCTCCCTCAAATGATAAAGATTTTACTCGGAGAGAACGAGATCCTTAAAAACCCTCCGATACTCATATCGTCTCTTCAACATTCAAAGGTACCCAAATCCTTCTTGCACCTTCAGATCTCAAAGCACGAGGAGAGCCACTGTCTACAAGAGTTAATAAACGAGAGCAAGGGAGAGACCTCATTTATATCAGGTCAGTTCTATTATTTTCATAACCCAAATAGTCATGCACTATTTGACTCCTAGAAACAAGTTTGTAAATATATAAATACCTTTGCACGAAGGTATCACATGCTACCTCTTATCAGTTTGATATTAAATTTGATATTAAATTTGATATCCTCCCAGACTGTCTGATTTGAGCCGATTCACAGACGGTTGAGACCATGAATATGTTTCAAGTATTTATTTAATTAATGTGATATGTCTACATAATAGTAGAGAGTTATCATTAGTGGTGGACCAGCTATTCCTGCTAACAGCATTATGTCAATTAGTCTCCTTGTTGCTTCATTCATTACGGGTAGTCACACACATACACATTATCATCAACCTATTGTTGAAAAGTGAATGAGAATTGACAAAACCCCTAGCATCATTTGTTAGATTCATGCAGCCTACATCAAATGGTGGCTTGTATAAAATGATGAATGCTATTGCTAGGCTCATCAACGCCCTCAATTAGGATCATTGAGTGGCCAAACTCTAATTTGATTTAGTTTTAATCACTCCAACAGGGCTGAAGGTAAATACAATCAGGTTCTATTAGATTACATAATGGAAACTCAGACTGTGTTCATGATGCTTAATTATAAAACAGCAGGCATGTATAATTATGCTTAGTCATTGATTTGTGCATGTGCAGGCCTCATTAACATGGTCACATGAGAACAAACCATTGTGGAAATGCTAAAAATAACTATAAGACAGTATCCATGGAGACTTAATTGATATAGCCCTCACAATGTACTTGTTCTGCTTCACCGTTTATGTTAAGTAATGATAGACATACTACAAAACTCACCACACAGCAAATGAGAGCCTTTTATATTACCATTATTATCATCATCATCATTATCATTGTTATTATTTTTATTATTGTACTGAAGGTAAGAGTGCTGATAAGAGCATAGACAGAGACTGCATAAGATCACAGGCTATCCTTCTGTTCAGTGAGAAGCAAAGCTTCAGGAAACTCGGGGACATCATTTACCAGTTGAACCAGTCAGGCGAGATATATGTGAGGAGAGACGCACTCACAATTCTCTTTGGAAATAGAATAATGTATGGGAATATCCTCACCTATGGAGGTTAGTCACACACAAACACACACACACACACACACAATCCAAAAGTATAAATGAAATTATGTTCACTCATTCACATACATGCCAAATAGTATAGAGATAACTTATTATTATACTTGAATTCATACTAATGCAACTTGACACATATTCGCATAAACTCTACCTATAAGAGGCTTGATAGCAGCACAGAAATGGAATAAAATAAACAGGATTGTACAGAAGCATCAACTCGCGTGAATATTATTAGGAATTCGAATGACATGGATGATTAGGTCATCCTGTACAAGGCTATACTGCATTACATACATTTATAGGGGAAACTACTCAAACGTTACAAATATATTTCTTTAGGTAATGGGTTACACCAGATATGGGATCTAGTCCTCTTTAAAGACTCTGTCCTACAGAGCAAGGGGCTGGTAGCGATTGCGCTCCTTAGCTCTTTTATGGTGTGGGTAAATCGGAAGCCAGAAGGTCTGGGGTCTATAACGGGTAAGTAGAAAAGAACCAATGTTTGTTTTAAGGAGGGCCGGTTGCTAAGGTGGTTACCTTAGATACAGCAATTAGGACTACCCACTGGTCAGTCCTGTTTTTAAAGCATATGCAAGAAAGAGAAAGAGAGACAATATGGCCACTTATGTAATAACACCCTGTTATTATAGATAACAATATCCTCCCTCCCTCTATCTCTCTACACAGATGTAAATACTTTTCATTCCCTCTGGAACAACTCACTGACTGCGATAAATCAGTCCGGACTCACAACCGTTTCCATTCCATCCAAGTCAATCACTTCATCAGTTGTCACTTCTCCTCCCCACTCCCCTGTATTCTCACCATTAACCACAGGACCATCACCAATAACATACACTCCAGGCCCTCCTCCCCGCCAGCACTCATTCCTTCCTCTGCTACCTTTCAATCTACTTCAGTTCACTCGGACTCCTTTGCTACCTCTTCCAGTCCTACCCTTGACAACCGTCCCTTCTCTAGGAGGACGTCGTGTGTCACTCAACAACCCCACGACTAACCTGTCCTTCATGCAGCATAACATTATGAGCAGTATGACTACTGGTATGGGAATGAGTCCTGTGACTGGTACAGGAATGAGTCTTGCTACTGGTACTAGAGTGAGTCCTGTTACCAGTACGGGAATGAGTCTTGCTACTGGTACTGGAGTGAGTCCTGTTACCGGTACGGGAATGAGTCTTGCTACTGGTACAAGAATGAGTCTTACTACTAGTGAAGGAATGAGTGGAATGGTTGTAACAAGAGGCTCTAATTATAAAGATAGTGATAACGAGAGCAATATAAGTGTTGATGATCCAGCCGTTACTGTCAATGAAGAGAGAGTTATGGCCGGAGAAGCAAGGACTCAGAGATTGAGTGAAAGCTCTTCTAGCAGTAGCGTCAACTCAACCGATCACATTATAACGAATAATGCGACCAACACTTATTCTTACGGATCAAGACTGTTGGTAGCGGAGAGTCCCACAAGTCAAGAAGATGCACTTGATAAGATACTAGCACTAGGGGAAGTGTCTATAACCCACCATGATACAAGAGGAGCTAGCAGAGTAATGCCTGCTCCTACTCAAAGAAATCCACTACAGTTGCTGCCATCTCCTTTAAGCTTTTTACCACAGTCATTTCCACTTAGAGCCGGACTCTCATCAGCTTATTCACCTCTACTGGCTTATTCATCGTCACCTTACATGCCTCTACTGGTTGCTAACCAGCCCCAGGGACTAGGGGGTTTCATAAACCCAGGGGCTGCCTTATTGCCTTTAAGAACAGTGCTACCGCCAACTTGTGCTGGAGCTAGCTTTCTGCCAAACACTGTAAGACATGTAGCCATAAATCAATCAGGAATTATAGAACAAAGTATGGAAGAAGAGCCGCAAGCTGGACAAAGGAGTAATAGTAATAATACAGAGAAATCTACTACTGATAGTAATGGACACATACGTGGAAGAAGAAAAACAATGAGTACACCTGTTTCTGTTAATGATGATGGGATCATCAGTCCTTCATTCCAGGAGAGAATGATTTCACAGCCTTTGCCCCCTCCACCTTCCCTACGGCCATTGAGAGAAGATGAGCAGAGGTCAGCAAGGAGTCCACCAGCACTCATTAGAATAGAGGAATTGGAGACCAGTCAGAGCAAGAGAAGAAGAGAGACAGATGATATGAGAGGGGAAACCGCAAAGAAAGAGAGAAGGGATGCACTGGAAGACTTGTCATTGGAAAGGAAAAATGAAAAGGTGTCATCATCATCATCATCATCATCATCATCATCATCAATAGAAAGTAAGAGAAAATGCACACACACACATTATTTCTAAGTGGCTGGGTAGTCATTTAGTTTAAAGATTTCCATGACTATAAAATTAGAAAATGCTTCTCATATTTTCAAACTGGCACAAAGGGATCCTCTAATTGTGTTCTATAAGTAGAAGCCTCTGAATCACTATTGATTGTGTCGAATTGCATAATTCTGTTCCAGTCGTCATCAATACTTGCTCCCTCATTTGGAATAATTTTATTATTATTTAAACAAAATAGCAGCAGGGCAGATGCCCAATGTTGCTGTTTACATGTAGTCACAATCCTTTGTCATGATTATTAGGTTCAATGATGTAAGTCTTTGTGCAGGTACTTTGTTACATCACTTCAAAAATAATAAATATAGTAACGTAGCGGTTACTACTGTAGTATGACTTAAGTATTTAGGTACAATGATATGTTACCGTGTGCCATTCTATTTTTGCTTATTATAGTGTGTACAATACTTTTACTGTTCCATAGTCCTTCACAGATTATTTATTGTGGCCTGTAAACTTGATCATCACAATAATTATGATTGTTATCATCTCACTATTGTTATCATATACATTTAAGTGGTAGTTTAAGAACGGAGTGTCCATGTAGAGCCATTGCTTATTCTTGCTTATTAAATATCCACTGTCTAATTCAATAATTGGAACAGTACCCACTAACCTCAGTGTCAGTAATAGGGACATAACACTATGGACTAGATCCATGTTAGTGTTAGCGTCCCATCAAATCATGCTATAGAAATGTACGTGACTATGCATGTATATGCAGATAGTAATAATAGAATAAAACTGCAGCTAATAATATTAGCCAGGATACTAGCCAAGATATTAGTGTGCTGTTACAAGCAGTGTTTGGTATTAATGTAATGAAAGGAAAAGCCCTGCAATTTGTTGTATTATGTCTACCAACACCTGGCAGTTAATTTACAAGAAACTTGTGGGTTCTTGTTTCCATGCAACTAATTGATGTATATGCATTTTAAAGTGCTTCCCTCTGTGTGTGAGTATTGACAAGAGCATGCAGTGGTCAAACTTATAGTCACTCAGTCTGTACCTACATTGCATGTTGTGCTCCTCAGCCTCAGCTCATGTGGTTTTTGTATCTCGTGGTCACTAGATATGCCAGCCCATTACTCTTAGAAGAACCTCAAATATAACACCAAGACACAATAGCATACATATTCAATAATAATATAATAATATCTAATTGATACTTTATCTTTTTTTAGAGGTTCCAGTTGAGTTTCCATCCGATCATTTATGGAAGTTTCTCCTCCACCTTCTCTTGTCTCCTAATCACGGACACGTCATACAATGGACCGGGCAAGGATACGAGTTCCGCATCACCGATCACTCCGCCCTTACTCAAATGTGGGCATGTCATTCAAACTCCGCCCCACTCTCGTATCACGGTCTCATAGGAGAACTAAGGAGCTACTCGGGACTTGAGATTTTAGAAAGTATTTCAGAAGACGAACTCATCTATCAATTCAAATTAGACATTCAGGCTTACCTTAGTATTCACATTAACTCAATCTCCACAAAGTCGTAGTCAACTGACCGACCAACAAGCAAGTCATGTGACTCTTCTCTCATGTGACATGATTCAATCGCCAAATATCACTTTACTAGCGGCAGATTAGTTAAAATTAATGATAGTCAAGGAATTGACTTTAAAAGACGATAGAGACATTACTAATTTAAATTATTTTCTATTATCATATTAAAACTATCACTAAAGATTATTATTTTTGTTATTTAATTTTAATGATGTCTGTCTGGGACTCATTATATCACAGTCTGAAGGTTATAAAAATCATTTGTCTGACAAGTTTACCACTAGAATGACGTAATGACTGGTTCATACTTCAAATCATATACACAAGAATTTATCTCATAATTTTGATAATAATAATAATGATAATGATAATGAACAGTAATGATGAGATCCTGATTGATGAAGAGGCAGAAAGTGACTGAGAGAGAGAGAGAGAGAGGAGGCAAGCTGATTTAATTCAATCACAGTAACTATATTACAAGGTGAAGAATCACTGGAACAAAAATGACTGGAAAATTGCGTGACGTGTTAACAGTGCTGACTAAAAGAACATCAAAAAAGACTCTAAGATTGAGCACAATTAATGGGCTCCGCATCTGAGCTGGTATCACTGTCATCATCATCATCATCATCATGTCTCCTTCTGCTAACGGGAAACTGCCAGATCAGTCTTCTTTCAACAACTTCCCTCCTCCCTTCTTCTCCTTCTTCTCCTTCCTCCACAAATATTCCTTCTGGTCCCTCCTCATTTTCGTCCTCTGAATAACTGCTACTGTCTGAAGAATCTCTCTCTCCAGTGCCACGCTATGAAAATTGAGAAGACATAAAAGTCAGGTAGTATTGTGTAGGGTGAGTGGCTTTGGGAGCATACCCTTAGGCTTCGGCTGTACTGATGCATCAAGAATTCTAAAAGGAAGCCATAGTTTTCACCTCCTGCCAATTCGCTTTCTTTCCGATCTTTAAAATTTTGACTAATAACCTAAAATTACAACAACATAATAATAATAATAATAATAATAATCTATGGGCTTTCCCTTTTTGTCTCTCTTTTGTCCTCTGCATTGTGTATAATAATAATAATAATAATAATAACTAGAAAGAATGTAAAACATTGAGGGGCTCCACCTCCAGACCGCACCTCCCAGTCCCGCCCAGACGTACGTTCAAGTTCTTGTAAGTAAGGGCTTCACCCAATAATAATACAAAATACCATAAAGCTGGTTTATTTTGCATTGAATTAATTTTCAAGCAGGCTCAAATCTACTAAAATTAATTTCCCTAGACTCTGGAATATAAACTTAATATAAACTTTTAAAACTGTAATTTCTGCAAAATAAGCCAGCTACTCGGTCATAATTGCCTCTCTCCTAGTTCTTATCCTTTCCTTTTCTCTTACTTCTTTTAAATGTTCAGTGTCCATTGGTCTAGTGGAGTAGGGAGTGCATACCTTAATACTGTGATCAAGACCACTGACGGCTAGTACCGGCAAATGTGGGTGTGGCTCCAAACAATTGACCTGGAAAAATAAAAAACCTGCCGATTAAAATCACTTAAGAACAGCAAGTACATGTAGGTAGAACAGGGACATGAATATTGTAATATTCAAATTTTCAATGCATGAAATAAATATTATTTGTTACTATTGTTTATTATTCAGTACAATCAATCTGAGAGAACATAATCTATTATTACAGACATACCACTCCTTCTGAGTCTCCTTCAAAGAATTGAACAACATCATTTGAATTCTTGTCCCACAGAAAAACGTGACCACAATCGCTACCACTAACGACGTATTCGCTCTTCAGGCCAAAGTAATTGACACCCTTGACTAGGAGAGAAATTATAATGCATGTGATCATGTTAAAGCAATTTTAAAAATTCGTAAAAAATCCAATTTTGATCGGAATCAACTCAAACTTGATATACAGCATAAGTACATGTATATGTATCAGAAAAAATTATAAAAATGCAGAATTCTCTCCTAGTCATTTTGGCAAAAATTGGCCAACGACCCTGTACTATAGTACAGGGACTTTGGCCCGATTTTTGAGCAACTTTAAAAATTCATAAAAAATCCAATTTTGATTGGAATCAACTCAAACTTGATATACAGCATAAGTACATGTATATGTATCAGAAAAAATTATAAAAATGCAGAATTCTCTCCTAGTCATTTTGGCAAAAATTGGCCAACGACCCTGTGCTATAGTACAGGGACTTTGGCCTGATTTTTTAAGATTGGAGTCAGCTCAAAGTTTCTACATAAAACAACATGCATTAGAAAACACAAAAAGAAGTAGAGAAAGATAGTTACCTGTAGCATTATTTCTATGTCCTACAAATTTCTTTAGATATTCTCCATTGCAACTGCTAAATAAAAATAAAAATAAAATAATTAAAATAAATAAATTCTTGAATCTTACTTGACTGTTGTATCAAACGTGTAAATGTCTTCGTCATTATAACTACACAATAACTCTGTCAACAAAGTATTCATAATATTTCAACTAATCGCACCTACTTACCTTTCCCGTCATGAGAGTACACCAAGCAAGTGATGTTTGCTTTATGAAAGTTCGATTCCGGAGATTCCTTTAATTGGAAACGTTACGCAAGTTTAAAAAATCGAGCATAATTTTATTACCAAGTGACTCGGACAAAACTTTTGGAGAGGCTCACAGCTACGTGGTGTTGAGGCTTCAGTCTATGCAGGAAATATAAAAATTATTATAGTTATATTTAGTAACAGTAAATATAGCTATATTTAGTAACAATGATGTCATAACTTACTCTGGAATTAGCTAAAACACGCCTATCGTACACTCTGTGTATTCATAAACAAATTAAAAATATAATTAAAGAATAAAAATAAAATTGCATTACCTGGCAAACTGATCGCGACCAGATATAGCAAACTGATTATAATTAGAAGGATCGATGAATATTGAGTACAGGGCAAGCCTATGGTTCTTACCGTTCTTACAAACGAGAATCCTTGAGACAGGGCAGGAGAGAAAAATGAAGTAAAAAGAAAAAAAATAAAACAGAATCAAAGCACAATATATCATTTACCGTATAGCAGAAAATTTTTGTGGCCCAAAAATTTCACGAATTTGTTCAAAATCAATTTTGTGGCTTTAATTTTCGTGGTTTTCTACTTTTCGGCCATCTTGAATTGTATTAAATTAATTTTCGCGGATTGTATTTTCGTGGATTTTGAAAAAACACGACATCCACGAAAATTTTGGACCACGAAAATTTTCCGCTATACGGTACTTGTTTCTCTGAGGAACGTCTTCTCTTAAGTCTACTTCTAAGACACTTCCATCTTCACCGCAGCTGAGAAAAACGTGAGGATTATCAGGCTCTATGGCAAGCTAATAAATAATATAATAATAATTAATTAATTTGCAACTACTTACCTTGTGGGCGGAGTCATTATGATAGGCGACTTTATCGGTAGCAACTAGTTCCCCACTGCTTGACACCACATGACGCCTCACCTGACCATCACGTGACGCACTAACGAGTACACTCTCATTAGTGAGGGGCATAAACTTGGCCTGAAATTTTATGATATAAATAATTTAAAAAATTAGCCACACCCTTTATCGAAAATGAACAAAACTCACCTGAAAGACATTGGACATGTGTTTGGACTCAAAGTTGGCGAGTTGTGTTCCCTTTTCCCAGTCCCAGAGGATAATGTGGAGGTCGTCTGACCCGCTGGCCAGTATCCTACCACTCTCAGAGAAATGAATACAATTGACGCATCCGTGGTGAGAATTTAGCAAAATATTCGGGCTCAGTCGAGACATGACAGAATTTGAAGAGTATATGGTGGAGTGGAGCGGGGCCAGAACCTCTCCTGGGTCGAATGAAATTCTCCTTTCTCTTAAAAGGAAAGGCAGTTTTGACGCCATTTTAAAATGAGTCACGTGATAATTATGAATATTAATGATCAATCATTAAAATTAGTTTATTAAAAATTAATAATTAATTTTGAGAGAAAATTACATTATAGCTGATCATAATAATAAAATTAATGTACAATGGACAAAGAGAGAGAGAGAGACATATAAAATCTTTAATAAAACTAGTTTGTAAGAATTCCAGCAGAAACTGGCGACGACCCTGAGCTCTTAGCTCTCTGTATGATATATTGCTGAATGTCACAAGTATATTTGAAGGTCAATTTCTTCCCGGGGACTTTATCCATTATGCCTTTGCTATAATAATAGCGAAGACCGCGGCTAAGTTTATCGTAGTTCATACGAGGTTTGTTCTTCCTTGCTCCCCATAACTTAGCTATCTCCTCAGGCTGGGCTATGTGAAACTCATAGCCATTCCCGGTCCACTGGATGAGGTGAGTCTTGTCAGGAGAGATCAGGAGGTCAAGGAGAAACTGCCAGAGCTGTATAGGACCTCTACCAGGTGGTACTAAAGAGAGAGAATTGAAATTTAATAGTTATATGAGGATGGAAGTTTATAAATGTACCAAATAATGATAGTTTAATAAGATCAAGCCCTTACAAGGGAAGGAGGTAACAATGTCTATTAAAGTGTTTGGCATTTTCTTTCTAATTTTACAGTTGACTATTAATGACTAATGAGCAACTCCATTCAAGTGCATGGAATGCAGAATGAATGCTCTGACTATTAAATGAAGAGGAAATCACTTATATATATTCTAATTGGGGCAACAAGTAAATTCAATTTTAAGTTGTTTTGTGGACAATTAACAGCTGGTATATTATGAATGATGACATAATAATGAACGTGTTTGTGCACAAGACCCAAGATTGGATTAAAGTTATCACATTACGTATTCATGCATAATCAGCCAGCACTGATGAATGATGATATTAGATTATGATAAAGCATTCATTAAACTTTGACCACAGTGGGCCTAGGGTAAGCACCTCAGCCAGTCCAATAAGGAAAAGAAAACCATCCAACTGAACCATATATCACTCACTGGCTAACTATAACATCAATTTGATTCAGTATGGTAAATATACAAACCACAGGGCCATGCATAGATGTACTTTTAAAGATGCAATTATTATTTTCTAAATTAGTAATATTATAACTTATGTAGCTTTTAAAATGAGTAATATTATAATCTATGTGCTACAAAAGTTGCTAACATACCTGGATGCAATGCTACATCGATATCAGGTGATGGAGGAGCGTGTTTAGCTTCGCTGTCAGGCTCCACAGAGCTTGACTCTAATTTAAGGCTATTAGTCATCGTAGCCTGAGGTATGTTGGAGAAGAAGATAGGAGGAATAGCCTGTCCGGTTACGCCACCAGTGCCGCCCATCAACGAGACGAATGTGTGCTCCGGTAGGCCAGACACTGGGGTAACAGTTGAGACTGGAGAGGGAGATACGGGAGATGAAGGAAGAGAGGACTTGAGTTGATTCACGTCAGGAAGAGAAGACGAACGTCTTCTCTTTTTAGGAGAGCGAGTGAACTCGGGATCAGAGCTTGGAGAACTTACTCTCTTTGGACTTCGGTTGCTCCGTCCACTTTCAGACTCCTCCCCGTCGAGAGAATAAGAGGTAGTCGCAAATACTTTCCCATCTTGCATCACGTGAACGACTTTCGAGTCTGACGGCAAAGTAGGCGTGGCCAGGAGCCCGTTATGGACGGAAGTAGGACTCGATATTTTTGATAAAGACGTGAGGAAGGAGAGAGGAGGAGCTAGAATGCCCCGAGAGAGACCAAAAATAGTCCCGTTAGTTTGAGGAGACGGCAAGAAATAAAAGGGTTTGTGCGACGGAGAAGATGGAGTTGTAGTGGGCGGAGACTGAGGCAGTAAATGACTTGAAGCATTTAGTGGTATTAGAGGCAGGCCGGAGGATATTGTTGGTGGTTGCGGCGGAGACTCTAGGTCAGTTCTACTAGCAGTACTAGTGCTTGAGCTCTCGCTCCCATTGCCTTTGATCTTAGTACTCACTTGCTTACTCCACTCTTGTGCCTCACGAATGAACTCCTCCTTTTTCGTTTCAAACGAGTTACGCTCTCCCATTTTCCCTGGGGTCACGATGGGTGGAGTCCGTCTCTCGACTCCACTCACAGCCATAGGTGCGGTGCTAAAAGGGGTGGAGCTAAAAGGGGCAGAGCTGACGAGCTTCCCAGCACCTCCCGTGCTTGCAAACAAGAACGGATTACATAGTGGGAATGTAGGAGCACTCCGCTGATGAACTAGGAGACCGTTTTTAGGTTGTGTGTGTTCATCAGTTTGTTGCATCAACTGCTGATTTCGCTGATCAGAAAGTAATGTTATATCGGACTGGTTTCGCCTAATAAACTTGCTATGGCCAATTTTTGCATTAGCAGCAACAGTCTGACTGGCCAAGAGTTGTAGTTTTTGAGCTTCCAAAGAGGCAGCAGAATGAACGAGGGGAGGAGAAGGGAAATGAGAAACTTGAGGAACCTTCCAGAGAGGAGTAGGCGTGGCCAAGTGTGGAAATGAGCCTGATGGAGTGTGGAGTGATGGAGAAAAACGATGAACTAGAGAGAGAGAGGGGGGGGAGAGAGAAAAGAGAGAGATGTGGTAAATGAAGCTGCACAAATGAGTATAGAAATACAAACACACTCTTAATTTCTTTTTGCTGTGGACTGACTGCCATAACAAGGGATTTATACCTTCCCTCAATGTTATGATAGCTATTTCCGTGTAACATGAAAGCAATGAAGCTTTACACCAGGCCAGCAACATCTAGGGCTACACCGCAATATAAAATACAAGGAAATGACCAGAATGCAGGGACTACACCTATACTACACATTGAAATGCTGAGAGGACAACTGAAGCGATACACATCATGCATGTATTAAAGCATAAAGCAAATGTGGCAACATAATATGATAATATGTATATGTAATAACAGAGGCTTGTGATGTCATTGCACGTCTTAAAATTACATTCCTCTCTCGCTCTCTCCCCCTCCAAGTCGCTTTAGTCTCATTACAATCGTCTTCTTAAAATATGTTTTTAGATGGTATCATCATAATATCATCTCCCTCTCTCTTCCTTTTATCTTGTTTGTCATCAGTGAAATGCATCTCTCTCTTACTTCCTCCTAGTGAGTCCACACAAGGCAACTAGTGTACAAGGAAGTGTATCTATTACGGTATAGATTTCTCTCACAATAAATCCAATAAACACAGTCAAGCATAAACAAGAGCAGACCTGAGAACAATGGGACAAAGCATGTCTGCTACTACATGTAAGAATGCTGTAGCAGCCTGTTGCGTGCATGTTGCATGTACATGCATAGTGAGGGGGGAGAGAAAGAGATTGAAAATAAAAGTATACACGAGTATATATACACACACACTTTGATGTATAAGTCTTCAGTGTAACAGTTGAAGCTTCCAAGAACACACAATGAGAGCAAGAGAGAGAGAGAGTGAGTTCATCCATAGACAACACACACACACTCACAAAGAAGAGCTAAAACATCCCATTATGAATTACGCTAATCAAATGATGTCAAGCTCTGTGTTTGCATATAGAAGCAAACCACAAGCTGGTAAAGGACTTTCTTCTTTCACCTCCTGTCATCCCCTCCCTTTCTTTGATAGCACATGCCAGCCATATTAGAACATTGTGGTCAAGTTATGGAGGGATCATCGTGCAAACACTGACCATCAATCAGAAACGCTTTTACACACACAAGCACTGGAGTACATGCACTGCATGCATTGATGGACTCTCTCTGATGGATAATGTGGTGGATTAATATAATAATGATGGATTGAGGTAATGGGTACTGATCTCATGGCTAGACAACATTTAATCGAAACCTCAGCAGGTGTATTGTCTGGACTCTATGAATGTATGAATGTGCCTCTTCTCATTAAGAGGCAGACAGTATGCATACAGAGTAAGGTAATCAAGAAGTATTAACTTATGGTTATCAATACTCAGACATGAGGTAATTAGACATTAATCTAGACAGGCACAGACACTAATACCATGGGCCCCATACTCCAGAGGTCATAATAACAATGAGAACGGACTATTGTGGGCTGTGCTCCCGTCCTACTTGTTTTTGTATTAATAATATATGGACTGATCTCACTATCACAACTCTCCCTCTCTGCTTACCTGATTCGTCTTTTTGTGGATTGAAATTAACTAGAAAGCTTCCCTGGACCTCAATGGCAGTGAGTCCTTCCAGTTTTGAAATGACTAGCGGAGAGAAGACCTTCAGCCAGACCTTTAACAATACCTGCCTGTTGGTCTGGAGGTCTATGACGTAGAGGTCGTTGTCTCCACGCTGCGTGAGGTTCACAAGAACGTTCGGGAACTGATGAAGGAGCTCGAATATCTCAGAGACCTCCTCCTTGGAGCTGCAGACAAGCTGAAGGGATACTGGGTGAAAAGAATCACTAATAGGAGCTGAGAGAGAGAGAGGGAGGGTGGGAGAGAGAAGGCGGAAGAAATCAAGAGGGGAAGGACAGAGAGAAGGAAAATATTACATTAAGAATTTAGTTCAAAGGGCAAGAGGAGAGAAATGGGACTATACCCGCGTGTACAAATACTTGTGGTGAACCGCATGCTTTTAATCAATGAAGTATGCATGGAGTTCATAATTAGTCATTTGAGGCAAGCTGATTAATTATGTTATAAAAGAGAAGGAAATAAAAAGGAACTGGGTACATTAATTGAATGAAGTATGCACACGCATGCACACACACACACACACACACACACAGAGTAATGAGAAGTCACATTATGATTATAAAATAAACACTTTGTATAGAAAACCACAGTATTATATTCATAATACGTACAATTACTCACTAAACTGACAGAAAACAAGGAAAATGAGAAGGAAAGGCAAGTAAACACACCATAACTATCAGAGAAAGGAAAACTGTTGTAACCTAATGTGTATCTACAAGACAATACAACAACACTATCTATTCTTTGTACTTGTAGCACATAAAAGGCTAAAAACACTCAGAGGCATAAGGCACTGAACCATTGCCTCGTGTGTAGCAAGTGTGTGTGTGTGTGTGTTTCATTATTATTATTAAGAATTGAGTTGAGTGAATAGAACGGTTTCTTTCCCAATCAAACACAACCTGAAAGCTAAACTGCAGACTGTTACTGAGTCCATAGTCCCAAAATTTACTGATTTCTCTTGGAAATGGGATTAACAAAAAAGTGATGGTGATAATAATCTAATATTATATGCATTGCATCTTATTGGGGCCTATTGAGTATATGTGGTTAAATCTATTGGAAGCCACTACAGCTCATGCACTGCTAGGAATTACTCTAAAAAGGAAATCACAATGTATGCACACACACACACACACACTCATGAATTGGCTGATATTCTAAGTACAGTAACATAGGAATGAGGAGGAAATAGCACCTTATTGTTGTCATAGGTACATTCTTACAGCTGGAAGCTGCCCGCTACAAGTACAATACAGTACTTGATGAAATTCTCTCTTAGAAAAACATGTCATGATCATTTATAATGTTCCCATAAAGTCTTGCTGGGGTGGTTTAAACTATAAGTAGTGACAGTACTTATAAGGATCACATGATGATGGGTGAGAGGACCAAATAAGTTACCCGCAAGAACAAATTAGTAAGTGCACACACATACACACACAGAGTCACAGTCACAATACGAATTAAAACACTATAAAACTGGAGCAGGCTCACCATAAATAAACAACAATCAAGATACTTAGTAAGCCTTTCATTTTCCTTATATCATACACACACATCATTAATTACTGTTCAGCGGAAAGGAAATCTTTATAATAAATGCAATTACGCACACAAGATGACATATACTAATAACCCCAACCAAAAATTAGTATTTCATTCCAGAATAATCTAATTAGAATCACGTTGCATTGTGGGGAAGTTTTACTCCCAGGAATTAAAATAGCTAAAATCAGTCATAAAATGCAACCAATAGTATACTTAGAGACACCATAATCATTTTAAAAAATATCAAATTCAATTCATTTGATGACTCACCAATGCTGAGATGAGTCTTTGAGATCTTCACGAGCGAACTCAGACTGGTACTGGGCTCAACTGCCATCGGGAGGACGTCTGGAACCGAGAGCTGTTTCCGTGACAACGAGAGAAGCAGTGGGAGAGAGGTGGGCATTACAGACACGGTTGCAAAAGTCGAGACGATTTTAGAGAGAAAAGGGTCGAGAAAATGGCTGCTGTCATACCCGATAAATAACGGCATACGGGACTGGAACTGCTCTCTTATAATGTCCCCCACTCGCCCAAACCCAACCTCTGTCTTATAACTAACGCAATCGATCTTGACAGTGCTCGGTCGTGTGTGGACGCCATGAAGGTGTAGCAATGCCGGGAATCCTTGAGCCCATTTCCTAACTTCATCTTCGCCGTCTTCAGGGAGAACTACAGGAAGACCCATCGCACGAGCGAGGGTATCATCGTAATGTGTGTAAAGGAGTCTAACACCTTTCCTCCTTAGGCTGAGGAGGTGTTGGAGGGTTCGTGAGCTCTCAAACTCCAGGCCTAGCTCCTTACATGGTGCAAATACTTCCTCTAGCCACCTCTGGTAGCCATTGCGTTCACGGAGGCTCTCAATGACCTTGCTCATGGCGAAAGGAGGGTCTAGCTCGTATGCGTTCCGCAGCAAGGTCTCTCTTCTTTCCCTGGCGTGCTCCGTCTGGTTTGCATACTCCAGCTCGAGGGATTTCCTAATGCCACTCTCAGCCAGTGCTCTGTATGAGAGGAATCCGGGGTGAGGGTGAGAAAGAGGGGAATTTGGCATCTTCTTTGACTCTGAGATGCATATTGAGGTTATCTGAGGACCAATGACCAGTAGAGTTCTGACCGGATCTATCTCAATGGTAGCCGAGCGATGCACAGGCTGTGGTGTGTGGACTGACATTATGAGTGCAAAAAGAACTCCTCTGTCTCCTTTCTCTCTATCCTATCTATCCTGCAAGTTTGTGTGCGTGTGGCAAGTTTATATCCGGGGACAGGAAGAGAAAGCCGGAGTTGGAAGTGAGCGACTTTGGCTGCTGTTTTCCACAAGTTGACTGAACTTTTTGCTGGAGCAAACTCCCCAAGTAGCTCCTTCAGTACATACAAGACTCGCAAGCAGAGAAACGCTGCTGATTCTAACTTCCTATCACACAATTGGCGAGAAGCTGCTGTGAAAAAGAGAAGATAGATTAGTGGAAATAAGGAAAGGAAATGATTGAATGAACATTTTAATAGATACGAACATCAACGAGATTCATTAGGCTCGCCGACCGGTAATGATATTCATAGTTCTTCCTAGCGCTTGGCCGCTCTTCACATAATTTTTAATTTTTCGAAATAAATCCAGATAAAATAAAAACAACAACAAAGTAAAAAGACAAGGATACTTTAAGAATGTATAGCAAATTGTTCACAGGACACAATGGCCTGCTCTTTGTGACAGGCAAATATCCAGTCAGGGCCAACAAAGACTAACGAACTGTTTTCTGACTTAGCCTAACAATGATAAAAATAAGTCACTAAAAGCTATCACTGCAAAAGCTCTCATTTAACACTAATGCAACAAGACTGAATACATTCAAACTAGAATTAACGTAGCTACACTAATATCATTTGATACAATAAAGTGGCACACTTGCAATCAAGTGCATTATTATTATCACTGCTTTTAATAATAATAATAATAATAATAATAATAATAATAATAGTAGGATATCATATTTACCTGATCAAAATTCTCATCCCACTCACTCTGTGTGATAACATGTGTCACCTTATCACTCATGTAATTCTCGATTGTTCTAAAAACAATAAAAATAATTTTTAATAATAATAATAATAGCTCATCAATGGATGAGTGAGAAGTCACTATGCTAGGGCTATGAGAGTCCAAATGGGAACAAAATGAGAGAGAAGAGTTGAAATGAAGAGAGAGAGAGAGAGGGGGGAGGGAGGCATATGTAAGTGTACATATGCACAAATTCTTATGAACATTGGTAATCTGTAGCCAAAGCGTTACGTCTGTCTAAAATAAGCAGATCTAAAATTAGTATCACCAATAGATGCCCATAAGTTGATGCAGTGGGCCAGCTTTACTGTCAGTTACAATTAGCAATTAATAAAAATAATAGCGATAAGGTTTCGCAAGGTGGTACATTCCAAGACGACATAGTAGAATTGTCATGGATACCAGTCTAACCAAGGGGGGGACCACATCCTACTTTTGACCTCTCATTGGATTATGTTCATACATTATGATTTTGGTTGTGTCTTCCATACAGAGTGTACCCTGAGATCCCTCACTCTCTCTAACTTTCTCTCTCTTTCTTTCTCACTCTCACTCACTCACTCACTCTCTCTCTCTCTCTCTCTCTCTCTCTCTCTCTCTCTCTCTCTCTCTTGAAGTAGCTCTTCTTCTTATAGAGACAAAATTTTCTCCACAACAAATTATATACGTGACTTTTAAATGTAGCAGGACTAGCATAAACAATTACATGCAGTACAACTTCAAATTGTTAATGCTAAATTTGGAAAGAGAGAGAGAGTAAGTGAGGGCTCACACAAGAACAATAATATAATGCAAGACTGGGCTCAGATATTCAACTATGAGAAACTATTATCATTATTCAAGCTTTATTGCGTGATATGAAAAAAATCAGAACTACAATTGAAACTAAACATAGTCACCGTGGAGTACACATGACTGTTACGTACATACACAGAGAGAGAGAGAGAGAGTGTGTGTGAGAGACATGAATAATCAGCTCTCACATCATGAGAGCAATTATTTTGATAACAGAACATAATTGCAATAAAGTAGCCTAAACAGCACATCCTAATATGCAGAGGAAAGTTTAACCTGCACTTCCTGCTGAGGGCAGCAAACTCATTGATATAATACAGTGACAGGGTTCAGCTAGTGTACCTAATACTAGCTGACACATGATACCGTGGCCAAAGAATAAGCATATTGTATAGCTAAGCCACAGCTTTTATCACATGATGGACCATACATGCTACATGCTAATCCTATTACTATAATAATGCTGACTGTAAGATCATGACCATCACACTCGATAGCCTCAGGTCATATATGAGATAGGAAACCAAATACAAAATGAGATCATGGAATATGAAATAATACCATTTCCAATACAGATATCACTCATATACAATGCACACCACCCATTGTTGATAAATGGCCTCTGGAGTGAATAGTATCGTACATATTATTATTGTCACCACCACACCTGTAACTACCACACACACACACACACACACACACACACACACACACACAAACAATGCATATAGTAATGTGTTAGAGGTAAGGGGCATTAAAAGGAGTCTCCATTCACTCTTGCTTGCTGCAGGAGAGCATGAACTTTAATCAAAACAGGAAATATTAACAGTCACTATGTCTGGCTTGGGATGTTTGCTTGAGAGTAGAAAGAGAGAGAGAGAGAGGAGAGTATATACATGTACATCCAGGCTTGTTGTCAAAACATCTGCCACGGCATATTGAAGCTACATCTGTCAAGGAAACCGACAGCTGGAATTTAAAGCTAACAGGCTGCCATGCACATTTAAAAATAACTTGAAATTATTGCAAACAAGCAAACATTGTGTATCGTTTCCTCTCTCTCTCTCTCTCCCATGACTCTATTGCTCTCTATTGCTCTCTATTGCTTCTATTGTCTCAACACATTCACTTTAAACATAAGAGTTTACTCATGAATGCATACACAAGTACAAGTATAAAACATATAATAGTAAAATGAAGTAATACGAATATTAGAGAGATTTTACTCACTATATACCTCTTTCTCTATTTCCATTAATCAAATGGTTTCATTTGTAAATTGAATACATATAAAGGGTACACGCACTCTGTATGTTTCTATGTGTGTCAGGTTTTGATAATAATCAATAATAATTGCTACTATCAGCCCCAATCTGAATCTCTTCCGTGCTTAAAGCATACCTTAAACCACTTAATGTCTATACTGCATCATGATATTCATCATTTAAATATACTTTTCTTCAAACGACGAATGAAACCATTATACTACTCATTATAAAAACAAAATACACTTAATTAATTGCAACCCAATAAGAAGTGAGCATCATCAACCACTGGTATGTGCACTAATGTAGCCATGTACATGTACGTTGTATAGATTACACACTGTCTGTTAGAGTAATGATGCGATGCACTTGTTTGTCTAATGAGCTCACCCATTATATGCTCTGATGTAACGCGTTAACAGCCTCATGTCACTAGAACTGAAATCCCCATAAAGCAGAAAAACGCAATCAGAAAAGAAGTCAGCCAGGTTTAATAACGAGGCCGAGTTCTTTTTCTTTGAGCCTACAGAGAGAGAGAGAGGGGGGGGGGAGGGAAATTGAGGAAGAGATGAAGGTAGTGATAAGATAAAGTACAAGGAAATGACGGACATCCTATACATAATAAATGGAGGAAGGAAACACTATGCATAATATACAATAATGAATTGGAGGGGAAAGAGGAATAAACAATAAACACACACACACATTAACTAACTTTCAGTTGATTTATCCGTCTGAGTTTCGTTGCCTTTTCTCTCGCTGTTAACAACCCTAAAACGAAGAATTCAAATTCCAAAAATTCCACCGATTCAAACCTAAATAGCACTCACATGCAGCCACACACAAAGCCACACATCCAAACACACAAAATGTGTTCACACACACACACACACAATGTACTCATACCCATAATGTACACATACACCATTATTTTAATATAGAACTACATTCACTGCATATGCATGAGACCACACAAGATCAGAAATGCAACAAGAGTATAAGGAAACGAGAGAGAGAGAGAGTAAAGGAGAGAGACAAACACCACTCTCTCAGTTCTCAATGGATAAAAGGAGCAATATCTGTAGTTTACAAAATAACATCCAGGAAATGCTTCATGTGATTAACGTGACACTACAAAGAGAGAGAGCGAGCTAGAAATGGCATTATACCAACAACACAAACATAATGACTAATAATGATAATAATAATGATAACAATAATTATATTTATCACTATAGCGGTGTGAACGTTTTGTAATTTTATGTTTACAACTTGGCAGGTTTAAAAATGAAGCCATGCAGCATGACGCCCTTTCCTCCTTCATTCAGCCAAACATGACCAAGGATGTGAGAACAAAAAATAATTACGACACCATCAATGGATATCACAAAATACAAAATACAGCCTAACATAGCGAATGTAGTACAATAATAAAGTATATGTACTACATATAAGTAGAGTATTTATGATAAAGGCCGGTGTAGTCACACGCAGACATTAAGCCATACACAGGAGTCATGCCCCACATCCTCTTATATTCTTATCATTATATAAACAATGCTTTTGATCAGGTTATAAGTCCTAAGGATTTAATGAGCTAAAAATAAGATATATATATATATATATATACACACACACATATATGTACTATATGCTTGGCCTGTCTTCCCATTATAGTGATCACTCCAGCCTTAGGGCATGTCTTGTACATATAACTGCTTTATCCTGTATGTGCATGCCACAAATTCAAGGCTTCAATTATGAACATATAAATGCACGAGGTATTTCTGAACTTGTTAAGTTGTGACAATAGCATATTATAATTAAAGGAAAAACTGCTGAGGCAGAATCAGTGTGTGCCGTTGATAGCTAGGATAATAGGATTAGGATGTAAGGGATTTAATTTACTTTGACTTGTAATTGAACTAATTTCACTTTCACTTACATGGCTATAATCAATCAGATTAAAGAGAGTAGCCATACATAGTCAAACATGCAAGAACAAAAATACATGTACATACAAATATAAATGTAAGCTGGACTACATGGATAGCAATATATGTCTTAGCTGTACTCACAGAAAGGAAACCGATCTGACAATAATGAGTGAACTTTAACCCACCAAGTAAACATACATAGGGGGGATTACACTATAGCTTACAGCTGGTGGGAATAATAAAGAGAGAGGGAGGGCTTAACCGACTAAGGAGTAAGGAGGACAAATGAGGGAGTGGGTGACAACAAGATATACACATAAACAAAGGATCCTACACCAATGCTGGGCTGTATATAATTAGTTTTATTTATGTGATATTATAGTTGTGATGTGTTTGGTGAAAAGACAAGAGAAAAAAAGAAGGATTTGTTAAATTAACTTTTACCAAGAAGCTGCCCTAAGCTTTACTGTCTATGTTTTTATACCAGTCTATACTAAGCTAATATTATTATTATCATTATAACCATAGCAATAATAGCTAGTGTACCAATCATCATATGACATCATTAAGAGAACAATGAGGGCAGACTGCTTCAGACTATAGTGACAGACAAAAGCATACAACCGAGACACATTCTAGCCAATATAAAACGATATTAATTAATGATCTTATTAGTACAGGAAACTACCAGACTTGTCTATAGTAGCGTAGTATGGATGCTTCCCTGTCACACAAGGTGACGTCATTATCTTACCTAATGTACAATGTCTCGATTGGTGCATGTTTACATGTACTAGTGTACATTAAAAATAGACGTTTCCATAGTACTGATAATGTAAAAATGTGTACAGACAAGCACTAAAATGATAGCTGCCGTAATAATTAATGTCAGACCCTCCATCTCTTGCTTATTCTAAAGTCTTAATTCCTAGTATTGGAATTAACTCGTGAGTACTGTATGTATGCACACACACACACACACAGACACACTTCCAAGCAACTGAAATCAGTGAACCTCAGGAGTCTAAAATCTAATTATACTTGTACTACACGCTGCAATATAAAGGTAGGCCTACATACATGTATAGTGTACTGTACTGACGAGACGAAAGGAAATCGTTTATTATCTCAGACATTATGATATTAAGGACAAGTGTTTCCATGGAAAAGGAAATATTGAAATCATTTAAAAGAAGCAGACTTCCTGATAGTATGCCGATTCATATAGTAATGATAATAATAATAATAATAATAATAATAATAATAATAATAGTAATAATAATAATAGATGCATATATGTATGTACATGTGCAATAGAGAAAAGAGGAAGGGAAGGAATAAAGAGATGAAAGAACTGGCTTGTGTGTGAGAGGCAGTAAGAGAGGGAGTGAGAGGCAGAGAGAAGTAAAGAGGTTTTTGAACAAAGACTAAACTTTGTCTGGAGTGAATCTCAGCCAAGACACAACCATAACAACCAAACACTGCTCAATGGCATGCAACAACTGGTACATAGGCAATAACTCGTATAATTAATACAATTTATTATTAAAATAGGAGCTAGGCTATTGGCTGGCTGACACAAATTTTAGCAAATAAAAATATATACATGCAGTACACATCACATGTACTTTTGTTTTAAAGTATAAGGAGGCAAGAGGTATAGGGCCACCCACCAGTTTAGACGATGGGCCCACTTCATCATGTGCATAGAGAAAAGCATGACTAAAACACCTTCAAAACAAGATCACCACAAGTTAACAAACATACACAATTAGACACAACATTTCCATCCCCTTACTCTCTCTCTCTCTCTCTCCATCCCAAACCATGTATATGTACATGTACATTCTCGTGTTCATTATTCTCATGTACCTACTCCTCCACAGTCACACACACAAATATGTAGTGTATACACTAATCTTAATACATATGTAAAATAATAATATTATAGTGGAATTAGGAAATAACCAATTCCTGTTGTAGGCGTGTAAAAACTAAAAACACACAAGGATGGTTAATGAAATGCTAGGAATGTGCACCACTAGCACTCTTACTAATGACATCACACGATGTATTGATAGTATTATAATAATGACACACAAATAATTTACATACCTCTGTATCTCATCCTCAGTGTCGTAATCTTCTGACCCTGGAATAATAAACAAACAAATAAATAAATAAATAATAACAAGAATAGATAATAATTAGAGGAGAGTGTCCTACTGGCTATAGGGTCTGCTTCATCACGGCGTAGAATTGAAGAGTCACATTCCGGTTATTTTCAGTATTTTTCAGTAGTTATTCAGCAATAACTACTCAAACTCAATGAAAATACGGAAATATCCTGAATGTGACTCTTCAATTCTACGCGGTGATGAAGCAGGGGGTATAGGCACAGTAGGACACTCTCCTCTAATTATTATTTACTCTTGATAATAATAATACTTACCGGGTTGATTCATTTCCATATCTGATCCTTCATCAGTAGACCCGCCATAAGGATCTTCTTCTGTGGGCGGGGTTTGGGTGGAGCCTCCTGTATTGCTGGGCGGAGGCTTGGTAGCAACTTCTTTCTCCTTCGTTTCCTCTTCCTTCCTCTCTCGAGTGTACGATACTTTACTAAATATGTCTCTCTCTTTCTTGTCGTACTGTTTCCCCTCTGAGGGATCAGTTGAGAATCTATATCTATCATAAAAATTAATAAATAAAAGCAATAACAAGCAGGTCTATGTCAACATGTGTATTTATAATTAAACTTTCTATTTCAGAGTAATATATTCCCCTACACAAAATAGTAGGATTTTCTCTGCCTCATGTACATGCAGGTACATGTACATATACATGTACATATACATGTACATGTACATGTATATGTACATGTACATGTACATGTATATGTATGCGTAGTAATTGTGTACATACTTTGAAGCTGGCTGCCTTTTCTTCTTGTCATAAGAATCAGTGAGCCATTCCTTCTTAACAATCAACCCACCCTTTGCTACATGTACATGCAAGATAGTTTTTAAAACAAAATGATACAATAAATATATTAAATGACTTACATTTCACTGTGTTAAACTTGGGCGTGCCACTAAAAGCAGAGCTACATAAATATAAAAATAAGACTCATGTGGTAGGCATGTGACCAGAGCTCACATGAGATGAGTGCAGCGCTGCCCCCAGTCCGGCTCATACTCTGCCCCCATTTCCAGTCCCTTTTCTCTCAAATTCCCTCTCAGGGGGTTCTGGAAACCACTCAGACTGAACACGACCCCTTTCTAAAAATAATAATAAAATCAATATTATTATAATGAATCATTTCATCATTATTACCATTATTTCTTCAAATAAAATTGGGTCTGAAGCTGCTTGATCGTCTGATGCTACAGCATTGAACTAACTAATCAATGATGGGAATTTTTAGTAACCTTTTGCTTTCTTGCTAGGAAGTGGAACAGGGTCCTTATCCGCCTTGCTGGACACTCTCTAAAAATGAAAGAAAATGAAAAATTGGAGGAGAGTGTATGATGTACTTTTCTATCAGCAGAAGGTGATTTATCTGATGGTTCAGATGAGCCAGTTCCTCTATCTTTACTTAATTCAATCGATGCCTGCCTTGCCTATAAAATTGTAAGTATTAATAATATCAATCATAGAGTCTAATATTTGATATCAAAAGTTTAGCGGTAATTTCATGTCAACATAATGAATGGCTATTAGCAACAGCTGGGACTATTGGGAAGAGTAAACCAAACTTTGATAACCTTTAACCCAGTCAGGGTAATGACCAATACCAGGAAATTAAGAATATTATTATTATTATTATCATTATTATTATTATTATTTTTAAATGAAAATAAATATTACTAGGAATTAAGCAACTAATTTTGTATACCAGCCACCATGCAGTAGTAGCAGGAAAGTTATGGCCATTTTTTAAAAATATGCCAATTTCTGAAAAATACCCAAGGCTATAGCCCATGGTTTTTCCTGAAAAATGGCTACAAAATCATCCCAAATTTTTATTACATTTTCTGATACATATTGATGTACTTATGCTGTACAGAAAGTTTGAGCTGATTCTGACTTCAGTTTCTCGAGTTACAGCCATTTTTTTAAATGCTAAAATTCTGAAAAGTACCCAAGGCCTGGGGTTTTTTCCAAAAAATGGCTACAAAATCACCTCAAATTTTTATTACATTTTCTGATACATATTGATGTACTTATGCTATGTAGAAAGTTTGAGCCGATTCCGAGCTCAAATTTTTGAGTTGCAGCCATTTTTTTAAATGAGCCAAAATCTGAAAAAATCCCTGTACTATAGCCCATGGTTTTTTTCCGAAAAATGGCTCCGAAATGACCATAAATTTTTATTACATTTTCTGATACATATTGATGTCCTTATGCTATGTAGAAAGTTTGAGCCGATTCCAAGCTCAAATTTTTGAGTTGCAGCCATTTTTTTAAATGAGCCAAAACCTGAAAAAATCCCTGTACTATTATAGCCCATGGTTTTTTCCGAAAAATGGCTCCGAAATGACTATAAATTTTTATTACATTTTCTGATACATATTGATGTCCTTATGCTATGTAGAAAGTTTGAGCCGATTCCAAGCTCAAATTTTTGAGTTGCAGCCATTTTTTTAATGAGCCAAAATCTGAAAAAATCCCTGTACTATAGCCCATGGTTTTTTCCGAAAAATGGCTCCGAAATGACCATAAATTTTTATTACATTTTCTGATACATATTGATGTACTTATGCTATGTAGAAAGTTTGAGCTGATTCCGAACTCAAATTTTTGAGTTGCGGCCATTTTTTAAATGAGCCAAAATCTGAAAAAATCCCTGTACTATATATATATAGCCCATGGTTTTTTCCAAAAAATGGCTCCGAAATGACCACAAATTTTTATTACATTTTCTGATACATATTGATGTACTTATGCTATGTAGAAAGTTTGAGCTGATTCTGAGCTCAAATTTTCAAGTTACAGACATTTAAAAATAAGCCAATTTCTGAAAAAGACCATTAATTCTTACATCACATGACCATATCTCAGCTCCCATACAATGAGTAAGTTATTTGCTACCTTTGCTGCCATTGAGGTTGGCTCTTTCTTAAAGAGTAACGTTCCGCCAGCTTTTGGTTCTGACTTCAAATCAAAGATCCCAATTTTCTTAGGAGGTGTGGCCTCTTCAGTGACCCCTCCCCCATCCTTTGAAGCAGTGGGAGGAGAAAGAAACTTGACAAAAGAGATGCCATATTTCTCATTCTATGAAATAAAAATAATTATACCAACCATCTTTAGTATAATCAAACTCACCTTGTTGAAAGGCTGGGTACAAACTAGCTTGACTCTATCCCATTTCTGATCACAGACTGCTTTAGATAATTTATCTTTACCTACATATTATTAGCCAGTATGCTTTGCATTAAACTCCCTCCTCTCTCTCTTTCTCTCTCTCTCTCTTTTACTCACCAAACATACGAACTCTATTGATATTAGTCCAGGACTTGCTCTCAACCGGAGACATAAAGCTACTGGCCATTACCAAGACTTCATAATCACTTGAGCTTAGACTGTTACCAACCAGGACCTCTATAAAGGCACTGCCATTATTGCCTAAAGGAAAAAGAGAGAGAGAAATAGAAACGAAATTGGAAAGAAAGGGAAAGAGGAAGTGTATAAAGGAAGAGAGGGGGAAAGAGAGCAAAGACATTTCTAATTTAAAAATCTTAAACCATCACTGACCAATATCAACAGAATGTATAACAGATGCTTTATCAAACTATTAAAAAGAAAGAAAAAACCAACAATAACAGCAATGATCTCATGCTAGTATTATAATTAAATCATTTATGCATGCATATGTAGTACATAGCATTTTAAGCAGCTGGCAATATGTTATTGGTTCAAAGGAGTGTTCCCATGTTTACACACGGTCACAATATCTCCATAGAAACTAACCAGAGATAATCCTTAGGCATGCAAGCAAATAATGAGTCACACACATAATATCCCATTACATCACCAGACGCTAACATTAATTAGTGGTAGTACTGTAGTAGATATTATCCCTTTATAATTACCTCTATCACCACTACTGCCTGCTTCTCCCCGGCTGAGTCACACTGCCATTTACGATACGTTTCTTGTCCTAATAAATTGTCGGCTGGATGATTCTAGTTTTTAAAAAAGGAGTAGAGTACATGTTATCATAGAGCCACGCCCACAACCCATTTGGAGAGGAATGAAATTCAACAAGATGCTATTGACAATTTGCATAAGAATCAATAACTGACCGGGTCTTCACTACTGACGGAACAAACATGCTTTAGCTTTATCTCTGGCATCTTTTCTTTGATAAAATAATACACCTCTTCTTTTAGATTTTATATTCAAAAATTCAAAATTAAGACCACATGTGTGGGCCCATACAATTAGCTGAGCCACGCCTTTATAATAACTATTTTAAGCAAAAATAGATTTTCTATAATTATTATGTTACCATAATTGGAAACTGTTTAATAATTATTATTAATTTTGTGCAATAAATAAAATATCAATATGTAATGAATGGAGTATGTTTTTGGTTTATTATAGTCCAGAAAGAGAGAGGAAAAGGAGACTTAGAGAGAGGAGGGAGGAAAAAAGAGAGAGGAAGATAATAATAATTATTAAATAACATTTTCTCCTATGATAAGCTTCAGTACATGTGTCGCCTTCTCGAGAGTATATCCTCATACTCGATACGGAAAAAATTCCACACCCATCGCCTGAGCAGCTCCGCAATAATTAGAGCAAAATAAATGACGTCAGAATCATTATGGTAGACAATGGCTAGGGTCAGTTTGATAGCACAAGCGAAACGAATGACGAAATCGAAAATGATGGCAAAGACGTAGACAAACTTTGGATAGTAGAGTGTAGGACGGAGTAGCGTCCCTTTTGATATGCAGAGGAGGCCCCAGTCCATCCTGATGTCCCAGTAAAAGGTGTAGAGAGAGTGAATGACGGATGATATGCACCACAATATGATAATCCAACCGACTTGGCTAAAAGTAAGACTGTTCCAGCTCCGAGACTTGACTTCGATACTGAAAATAAAAGCAAAGATGACAACGGGAAAAGTAGTAAAGTATTTCCCTGCGTTAATAAGATGGGCGACCTTACGGGTCTTCTGGTAACAGCGTATAGTTTGCCAGAACCTCCAAAGTGCCGGCAGACACGATATGATTGCTCTTATGCCAATAGGACTCATAGTGCAGGATTTCAATTTAAGCTCATCAGTCCAGGAGATTGATAGGCTACTGTAACAGATGAAGTACTGCACATCCAGTAAGAGTGGCACCATGCTGTTTAGCTGATCAGCTAACCAAAAGTCGCCAAATTTAACAACTGGTAGAGGAGCCATCATGATCCTCACGAAAACGAAGATAAGAGAGAGACGACCACTGCGATATAAAACCTTGAAAGGATTAATGAGAAAAAGAAGGAGAGTGAGCCACATGAGAGTAGCAACGACTTTGTCGATTATGTATAAATAACTATCATCATTTGTGATGAAACAGACAGAAGAGAGGAGAGAGAAAAGAATAGTAAAAATACCCGCTATGTTAAATATCAGGCGAGGAGTAGGAATTGCATCAAGAGGAAAGTCAAAAATCCTAACATAATCAATGTTATGCCTTGACCAGGCTAGTATGTTGAATCCAATGAGGAATAGGAACAGATTTATAATCAATGGACTTCTGATAAGTCTGAGTACAACAACCCACCTCTGATTGGGGTAATAACCTCCCAAAAAGGACATTATTCCAATAGTTGATAGTAAAAGAATGAGAGTAAGGAAACCGGTACAGCCAAGGCTCTCTTTCTTGGCCTGGTTCAGTGCTGACGTTATCTTGACACTGTTGCGTTCTTTCTCGTAAAAATCATCCAGTTCCTTGTCGATCTTCTTCAAAGAATCCTTCAGTTGCTTTTGAAGCGAGTTCCTTCTCTCAAGGTGACGTGAGAGCGTTGAACGACCCAAGTTTCCATTAGAACGCTCATCATACATGCCTACCATCTCATCAAGTTGTTTGACGGTGGTGTTCAAGCTATTCACTAAAGACTCTACGACTTCTTTCATCCGAGACAAAAAACCTTTAGGCGTGGTTAAGTGATCATCTTCGATTCCAGAGTCTCCGCCTATGGAAGTCGTGTCGGATGGCAGCGAGTTACTGCTTCCTGATTTGAGGCTTGATTTATCTTCAGGATCCTCGCCAGTATTGATACTTGATATAGGAACTAAACTCTCGTGGACATTCATACTCAATCTGTGCTGCTGTTGGATCAGATCATCATTTACTTGTTTGAGGTGAGTCTCTATGTAATCCAGGAGTCCAATGAGCTGCCTCTCGCATTCAAATACTAGTGCCTCACTGTCAAACACTGGAGATGGTGAATCTATGAGTGAATCGTGATGACAGTGCCTTCTTAATGAAGGAGGGACTTCTAGCTTTGTCTCTTTTGGCGATAAAAGTGGCTTGGCCTCCTCTTCTTCTTTGAGCAAAGAAGCTCCTGCCGAGCAACTTGAAGAATGCTTGAATTGCAAAGTTTGAGGGCGAAGAGGTGTTGCTTCCTCAGGAAGTCCCGCCTCTTTCTTCCTTTGCACTGCCTCCTCTGATGGGCGACTATAAAAGGGGCGAGCAAACTCTCGAGAACCCTTTGTTGCTGGTTCTTCGCAAACGGGAGTAGGTGTTGTAGATGAGGGCAAGGTAGGAGGAAGGCTGGAAGATAAGAGCCTCTGAAGATAGCCTTGGTCCAGAGAATAGCGCGGTAGGTAGCTTCCGTAAGATACCCGTCTAGCGTGCGTCCTTTGGAATGAGAGCAACGGACTGCCTTCCCTGGTTCCTTGTTCGTCCTCCGGCCAGTTAATTGAGACCAATATGTCTCCCATATGGTGTAGCTAGAGATATTTTCAACAAGTCTTGGCTTGTTTTTTTGTATACCCTAGCGTCGAAGTTAAAACGAAAGACTTCGCCTTTGCCGATCTAGATAGTTTACTAACTCAATATAAAAGAGCCATTGTCGCAATAAGTAGCAGATAGCACTGTTGATTCTTTGGCTGGTAGCCTGTTCCACGTCCTTCGCTTGATTTGAATGCCTTGTTGAAAATCTTTCGATGGGGGTGTGTTGTGGTATGGTATTGTACTACCTGACGTATTGAGGCGTGAAAGTATTATACTGTGTACAATGTACATATAAACCACAGCCCATGTGATCTCCATGTACTGGAAACGTGCAGTAAAATCTAGGAATTGCAATTCCTTCTTGTGTTAATTAACCAACACTCTGACATCATATCCCATATCCTCTAGCTCTATACAGTCTACAGTTCTTACTGACAGCAGTGTTGTCTATGGTAATCCATTCTTCTTTAATTGTCTAGCACAATGAATTACATAACAACTACCCATACTAAGGACTAAATGTCATTACTATTGTCATGAATACTGACAAGTTTTATTATGCCAAACGCCTCAAGTTGACCATAAAGTGGTACCAAGTTTAGGATATAGTACTCGTATCACTCCAATTTCTGCAAATTTGCTATAGTGTAATGCACTATTGTCACTATCATGAATTATATTAAATCTCAATTAGACAATATCACTGCCATCTAGTAAGACAATTATGTATACTTGCTGTGGTAAGCTTTAGGTGCTTTTACTTCATGACGTTACATTGTGGATTTTTTTAACATAATAATCCTAGTAGCAAAACAACAATAATAAATATTTCCTGGTTCATAATGAAATGATAAACAAAACAACAGAAACTAAACATTCAAAGCACACGCATAAATAAACCGAACAAGCAAACAAAATTACAAAAAGCAATGAGAAAAAGAGAATAAAATAATAAAGAGCAGCAGAAGTGTGTATGCATGTGTGTAAAATATAACTTAAAATCAAGATGATGTTAAAACATGATCTTCTTGAGTAAAAGTTAATTAAAACACTAAGAGTGAGAGACTGTTACTATAAAGTACACAACACAGAGAGGAGATACAGTAGTGGAGTGGGTCAGTAATGATGATAATAATAATAATAATAATTAATAATAATAATTCATCCTTTACACTCATTGTTTGTGATCACTGGCTTGGAGGTGAAGTGGTTCTGGTATCAGAATTTGAGCTGGACTTGATGCTAGTGGGTGATAAGTAAGGGGCTGAGCTCTCTGGAGATCTGTGAGGCTGGAAGATAAACAGAGAGAAAAAGGAGAGTCATGTAAATTAAGTTGCATGATTTCATGATTTCCTTACTCACACACACTACTACAAAATCTAAACCCACAAAGCCACACAGAGTGTAAAGAATTGCTGCCAAGAACATGCAGGAAGCATGCACATGCGCATTCTCATTTCTCACAAATACATGTAACAGACCACGCAGAACATTAGAGGTTTCAAGACATTCAATATTACCAAAATTTTGGAGAGTTAAATTTGGCGAATGGCTAAATTTTAGTGATTGGCGAATTAGCGGTCACATGCCATTGAGTATGTATATGTTACTATGTAACTTTTAGAAACAATAGTTTTTTAACAGAGCACTCACAGGTTGATATTTTTCATTATAATGATGAATTTTAAAATCCGCCATAAGGTACCTTTTGTCAATTATGGTCACATATAATGGCTCAAATTTGCCAAATTTAATTTCCTCCAAAATTTCCCACTATACAGTATATGGACTTACCTCTACATTTTGATGAGACTTTGAGCCAGACCTAGGTATGCTGCCGTTCGTCTGACTATTCCCTCTTCCTCTGTAAGACGGTGAGACATTGGTCCCTCTCATGTGACCGTGAGATGGACCCACGGCTCCTCTAGCTGGTGACGTGCTCTGACTGTCGGTAGAAAATGAAGAGATACTCTCAGAGAGTGAAGAGTGGCCAGGACTCATCTTTTCCTTATGTCCTCCTCCTCCAATTACTCCTATATTATAAGGACTGACTGCAGTAGGTATATCAGAATAACTATTATACTGCTCTGACTGTATCGGAGACCCCTGGTTGTCATATGGAGCAGGAGGAGGTTTTTCAGTCGGCGAGTCGTCAGGGATCTCGGAATAGTCTGCATCCGGAGGAGAGGCCCTTATCCCCTGCCCAAGGTTAGTGGTTGATCTGTGAGGAGGGACAGGAGGGGCACTCTCAAACTGGAACATGTCCATGTTACCCTGAGAGAAAGGGGAGGTTGGCCCGTGGTGAGGGTGAGAGGAGGAGATAGGGTAAAACTGTCCGGTGGAGTGATTAGTGGTGAGTGGACGACGTGTGCCGGGGAGAGTGTGATGGTGACCGGGAGGAGACACGGAATGATGGCCGCTCTCAGACTCGTTGGGTACTTCGTAAGGATTCGGGTTAGTAGGTGAGACCGGGGATCGGTTTGAGAGGAACCGCTGAGCGTGATGATGAGTGTGGCCCTGTGAGAGACCTTGACTCTGTCCTGGGTTACTGCTCTCGGCAAAAACAGAGGTAGGTGTGACCGAGCTCATATCAGAGAGAGGCTGAGAGAGGGTCGGGTAGTGAGGGCTTGTGGCTGAGTTGGCCCGCATCCGAGTGTCCATCCCCATAACCGGACCGGGGTCTCCTACATGTAAATCAATAGGATGATGATGTGAATGGTGAGAGAACTGGTGATGGAGGTGGGAGTGCTGCTGCTGGTGAGGGTAGCTTCCAGGCGGGTATTCGGAGAAGGCGTGGTCAAAAGGAGGAGAATAGTCTTTGATAAGACGAGCATTGACGCTCATGGCGCTGGGAGTGGGCGTGTGAGGGTTCGGTGGGAGGGGCCTGTTTTGATTCGAGAGTCTAGCAGAGTCGAAACGAGCGGGCATCCTACTGTTGTAAGAAGGAGAAGTAGTTAATATAATAAGAATAGTATTGTAGAGTGCTTACCTGTTCATCACAGTCCCGTCTTCAATATTCTTATTGATATCTGTAAATAAGGAAAAAAATAATTATTATCAAGAAATAATACATGTATAAAAATTGTAAATAATAATAATAATAATAATAATAATAATAATAATAAAATAATAATAATAATAATAAAATAATAATAATTATAATACATGTATATTTTAAAATGTATCACTAATTTAATTATACATGTAGCTCCAAAATTAAAATATCTGAGCTATTATGTTACCTCGAACGTAGGACACATTCCTCTTGTTTCTTCCAAGACAGAGTTTAATGCAGAGGATGATGGCAGCTATGAATATTGCCAGTCCAATGACTGAGGGTATTATTATGACATAGAACTGCCATGTTCTAGTAGTCGGCTGGACCGTTGGAGTCACTGTAGGGGAAGCTAAGGGGAGACAATATATGAAAATCTTGTATATCAAGTTTGAGCAGATTATGATCAAATTTGGATTTTTTATGAATTTTTAAAGTTCCTCAAAAATTGGGCCAAAGTCCTTGTACTATAGTACAGGGTCACTGGCTAAATTTCGCCAAAAATGGCTAGAAGAGAATTCTGCATTTTTATAATTTTTTCTGATACATATACATGTTCTTATGTTGTATATCAAGTTTGAGCAGATTCTGATCAAATTTGGATTTTTAAAGAATTTTTAAAGTTGCTCAAAAATCGGGCCAAAGTCCCTGTACTATAGTACAGGGTTGTTGGCCAAATTTCACCAAAAATGGCTAGGAGAGAATTTTGCATTTTTATAATATTTTCTGATACATATACATGTACTTATGTTGTATATCAAGTTTGAGGAGATTCTGATTGAAGCTAGTTGGATTTTTTTACAAATTTTTAAAGTTGCTAAAAAATCAGGCCAAATAATCTCAGTGAGTGTATGTGTGTGTGTGTGTCGTCTTACTGATAAAAACACGATAAGGATTACTGGGATATCCTAAACCACCTGAAGAAGATGCATAAACATAAACTAAGTATTCGTGTTCAACCTAAAAAAATAAAGAAATAATAAAAATGATTTAAAATGATCTCATGCATCAAATCAAATCTGATGTATATATATATATATACACATTAATGACTGCATCTACATGTATGTGCAATATCCTTCATCCTATCTCTTTCCTTACAGTTAAAGACGTGACTGTGATATCATAAACATCTCTAGCAGCACTTCGAGGGATGAAGTATCTCCCTCTGTTATTAGTAGTCACATCAGTCGTTACGTCAAACATGTCAACAATGTAAGTATTGTTGATGCCATTCCAGGAGCTATCATTGATTCCGCTCCAGTACAGCTTTATCTGAGTATAGTCCTCATTGTACGGTGAAGTATGGTTTATTACCATTGGAATACCATCTGGAGCTACATGTAAAAAGGAGAGGAGAGAAAGAGATTATTTTTGGATATTATTATATAATTATTTATTTGTTGTAGTAGAAAATAAAAGAAATGCCTACGCTCAAACATCAAAAAGATGCTACCATGGAGACATAGCAACAGAGATAGAATCTCTTGGCAATGGATGTGTGTCAAGTGACTGGGAATGTGTTTCATCATAAAAAAGAAAGAGAGAGAAAATGTGTACACGTATGTGAGTGTAAGTGTATGGGTAGGGCTGGAAGTCATGTTTTATTCATGTCACATCATAATCTGGTCTTAATTAGACCTCACTCAATGCATTTTAGGCATACATTTTAGTCTGGCTCATCTTTAAAAGATTTTTTATAATGCACAATTGCTTTTACATAATTATATACTATATATATATATATACATGTATCCTACTAATAATTATATACACTGCTAGTAGTCAGGCAGTCAAGCAGCTTAAGGAGGTGGTAATGTTCATAATTGCATTGAAATTTCTGACATTCTTGGCATCAATTAAACCGAGAAGCTGTCAACGAGTGACAACTGATTATTAATTAAGAGAAATAGGAAAAGAGAAAGAGAGAGGAGATATATTACGTCTTGAAATTGTGCACCGACTAACAGGCTGAACAGCTAGACTGAACCTGTCTTCAAGCCTGCTCCTCACTGAGAAATAGTATTCAGTAAAGCCAGGGAGTCTATCAGTGTCTGCTGTTGTATTTTCAAGAGTTACATTAATGTAGCTATAGGAGGAGGTTGATGGCCTCCAATACAGAACTTGATAACCAATCACACTGGTTATATTGGATGGAGGCTATAAAAGTAGAAGAAGGTAGATCATAATCTGACTATAAGAAACATTTATTTTAGATAGTGTACACACATACAAGCCAAATTAATTTATTAATCAAAATTAATGTAGCACAGAGCCATGGAGGGCACACACGCATGCATAGACATCAAAGACATTAACAAAACATTTTGATTAGAACAAAATATACTACAAGTTTACTTCAAAACAAGTCACAACATCGCCATAGAGAGTGATCAAACAAAAAGAAAAAGTAACACCCCACACAAACACTCACACACACACACAGTATCCTATTTACAGACTGTAAATGTACATGTACATGTACATACATGTACATGTACATGTATATGTGTGTGTGTGTGTGTGTGCAATACATTGGTACGTGTATACACATTGACTGGAGTATTAATGGTAATGCTTAAAAAGGACAAAGAATGAGCACAAAAGATGAAACGTGTCCTTTACACTCAATAAAAAAAGATGCCTATATCCACAAGTCATGCACGCACTAGTAATATCCTTCTTGTACTCTACAAATCGAATTAGGCCAGACTAAAAAGGTGAGCAGTCCCACCACACAATACCACAATAGTAACTCCTTCAGACTAGGTGGTGGTGCATGGACATACCTGTCACTCACTCTAGCAGTGATGGAACACACTACCTCAATCACACACTACATGACTAATGAGTAACCAAGTAATCATGTTTATAAAAATACACTTTCTAATGATAACACAAGGAAATCTCAAATACATGTATACACGTACATGTAGTGGTTTACTGTTAGTAATTAGGATTCATTAGTAAGAAGGAGAAATAGGCCTGGCCAATGAATGGATATGTTTGTATATAAAGCTAATAAGTGAGCTAATTAGAAAGTTATGTATAAATATTAACAAATAAGGGCAAGATATAATTAACTAAGCTAGATGAATAGTCTTTAATCAGAAAATACATGCAGGCAGTAGGATTGATGTGAGCTCACGGCTCAGTGACACTAATCATCATTAAATCACCTTTAAATGATGATTGTTGGACAATGTGGTCAAAAGGAAGGAGGAAGGATGAGAGACATAGAAATATGTGCAGCTCAATACTACGTATTGTCCCAACTTTCTTTCAAGTGTTTTGTTACATGCACGGTATTCTCCATTGCTTATTTAGTAACGCTCACTCCATTAGAAAGTATTAATAAGTACATGGGATTCCTGCACACCTAATGCCTTTTCTTAGTAGAGGATAAATTGAAGCAAATAAGTAAGCAGGCAAATGCCTTTTCTGAGAAATGTAATGACACTTAGCTAATGTAACAAGCAGTAGATTCACTGACACAACAACAATCAAAACATCATACACACGTATACATGTACATGGACTCTCGCTACATGCATTATAAAAACAAAATTTGACAATTGTTCTCTCTTTCCTTCCCTCCCTCTCTCTCCCTCCCTCACTCTCTCCCTCCCTCTTACTCTCTCTCTTTCTTCCTCTCCCTCTCTCTTGATTACTGGTAATACATACATTACATGTCTGAGCATTAATTAACTAGATTAGGAAAGTTCATAAATGTACAAATGAACACAAACGCGCGGACATAAAAGCTATCATCTATCAATAAACTCACATCCCACCGAAGCATCATAACACCAGGAAGGGTCTGACTCTCCGTAGCATTGAAATTCTGAGGATGATAACCTACATGTATATATAAGATAAAAATAATGTTACGCTAACGTATGGTAGAGATGTACATGTACATGTATGCATGAGTGCAAGTGAACAGTGTATTATAGACATAATAGGAGGGATTGGGGGAGGTGAGAGTGATAACAGCAGCTGTGGTGGACACCAGTCCATCTGTCAGTCTCCACAAACAGAGGGACTAGATCACAAAGAGGCTGTTTACTAATAACAAACTCAAAGGAGGGAAGACATGCCATTAGGCCTGCAATCATTGAGTGAGCACAGAGCATAGTGGCGATGCTAGGGGTACAGTTAGTGAGCATTCAAAGTAAAAGAGTACAAAAGTGTCAGGAATTCTTTTATATTGAGTACGTGCGAGTGATTGCATAGCAGGGGCTGCCTTGTGTGACCACAAAATACAAAGATGGCAACAAATTGTAGTCTTTGGCTAATTATAGACACAAAAAAGAAAGGGATAGAAAGAGAGAAAAAGAAATATTATTTAAAAAGAGAGAGAGAGGGAGTGCGAAGCAGACATAGATACAATACAATAACAGAAACACATTCTCTAGTCAAGGAAGCTTTTAGAAAGTTTAAACACGAACACTGGGACATATGTGTTTGAAATTCATGGAATTCATGGACTTAAAAGCAAAATGTAATTTTCCTGACTCCTATTAGTCTACTAAACTGTCTGCCTCACCCTCTCTTGTCATAACCAACACATACTCACACTGTTATACCCATTCTCCCCCTCTATAATGCACACGCATTATTATTATTATAAAACATAATTATACTGCAAATGAAATACAATAATGATTATGATAGACGGAACAAATTAAGAGCAATAGAAAGGGAAAGAGAGGCTGCTATATACGTGTGTGTGTGCTAAGGTTTTCAAAACAAAGGTGCAGATAACAAACGATAATGAGCAACAAGATAACAATTATAAACATAACCTCATACACATACACACACACCTTCACTCTACATCCTTCAATCGTCCTAATAAGTATCAATTACAATACTATGTTTTCAGAAACCAACACATTCAAAGAGTCCCCAGTGACATAAAGTGAATGTGAGTGATGCGAATGAGAGATAAAGATGGGAACTA